TGAAAAGGTTCTTCTCTCGCTTCCGCGTATATATTATTATCTTTATACGGTCTAAATAAGTAAGGTAAATATAAACTACGTTAGAATAACACTCTATAAAAGTTTTAATAATAAACTATAAGTAGCTAAGAATAAAAGTAAAATAACAGATAGCGAGCCGATATTTAATAGTTTATCCTCGATTCTATAGAAATATACGACTTTATCGAGACTCGTAAGAGTCTACGCTAATAATAAGTATCTAAAGATCGTAGATAACTCTAAAAAATTCGACTTCGAAGTGAAATATATAAAGAAATAGAAAGTCTTTACTAAAAATATTAACGACGCGACTAAAAGTATATATTATCGATATCTAATACTTTTAATAGATAGCGCTCCGAAATTCCCGATTCTATAGTTTATTCTTATTAAGTAGCTCTAGAAGATAAACTTTCTTAGAAGACTCTTAAAGAATATTATTTTCGCGAAGAATAACGAAACTACTCTCGTTATATTTAAGATATATTCGGGTTAAAGAAATAACTATAATTAGAGGTTAACCGAGTATAGTATATTAAGAACGTAATGGCTTAGGCTTTATCATTTAAGATTATTGCGGCCTTCGTATACGATTCTATGAATAAAGCTCTACGTTATTAGATATTAGTTAACTTCTAGAATGAGAATAAAGTTAATATTCTTATTAGTGTATTAAAAGTATTAAGTACGGATCTAACATTAATAAGAGCTTAATTCGTTATCTTAATAAAATAGTAAGGCGACCCCGGACTATATAAGTAAATAATCGATCGAATATTACGTAGAGATAACTTTAACTAAAATAGTCTTAATATCTTTAAATTATACTACGATAACTTCTCGTCTAAAGTAGTCTTACACTAAAGAAGACTCGGTCGAGAGAAATTCGCTAATCGAATTAATTTATAGATACTAAATAAAATCGTAGATATAGTGACTATCGATATCTTGAACGACGATTCGAAGAAAGACGATAGTAATAAATTAAGTGAAGCGGGTGATAAGATAAATATTAATAACGATAAATCTATTATATTATCGAATAATAAGAATAATAAGCGTAGTTAGATTAAGAGAATAAAACTATCATAATCTAAGGGACACTAAGGCTACTATGAATGATTAGTATCGAATATAAATGATTAAGTAATAGATAGTATATATAATTAAATACGAATATACTAAATATAAATAGAAATAATTAGATATAAATAGATATAGTAGTACTCTATATATATATTAGAATATAATATACTTAATATAATTAGATATAACTAAGTATAGATTTAATTATAGGCTTCGAATAAATATACTAAGATATAGTGTAATAGAGTACTTTAGAGTTCGGCGTATATATATAACAACGCATAGAGGCTTATCTAGTAAGTCGGGAATCGAGAACTTATTTCTAGTTAACGCTAATAGAGTAATATTATAACTAACACCACCCTCAGGGAGGCAGCGGCTAAGGTAGGGAGCGCCTAGTACGGCGACGGCGTTAAGAAGTAGAAAAGAGCCGACGAAACACTTAGGAATAGGTAGACGACATTAAAAACATAGAATACTCTATTAAATCTATAAAGAATGGCACACAGCTAACACTGTGAATTATTCAGCACTGCCCGCCCTTTTATAACTACGAGTATCGATCAAGGATATATTAAGCAATATAATACGCACTTATAGTTATAGTAGGGCGGCGTTGATAACTAATAGTAGGCGTGGGCTCTCACAGATGTTAGCTTAGCGTCCCATGAGCGGCGCTGGGCTCGCTGAGCCACCACGGCATTCGGGAATGCTCTGGGCCGCGGGAAAAATTGCCGATGTAAGTAAGTTTCTAAATCTCTCGATATCACAGCGTATTATAAGTGAACTGAACACTAACGATACTAATAGAGTAACTAGATCTTAACTCGCAACATTGATAACCTCGTCGTCCTAAAGATGGCTGTTAACCCTTACGCGTTTACCAGTGATTCCGTGTTCGTTCTTGAGATACCGATTCACGTTCGAGAGACTTCCAGCCTTTTTCATTGAGATCACGCTGTCGCAACAATCACAGATCCAAGAGGCGGAATCGTTAGGCTTCGAGATATCGCAATACTCGTCACCATGTTGCCAGATATAAGACGACGAGATACCTCGTCGTTTATTAGCCTTACGGCCAACCTGTAACCACATTACGTTACCGATCCGTCTATTCTCAGTACGGCGCGACGGCGTCTCGCTACTCGACGTTCGAAGAGTAACGATCGATGGCGAGGGCGTTTCAATGGAAGGTTGTAAACTGTCCGACATTTTCACATATAATTTGTTAACAAAATAGTTATCTCTGTTATTGACCGCCATTTTATTCCCGGTGCCAAGCCTGCCAAGTCTATGACTAGTCAGGACTATAGTCTCACCAACGCTGCTTTCCCACTCAAGTCCAGTCCCACACAGCGAAAGGTATTCTTCCTCTCTCAGAATGACATCCACAGGCGGGGGATGTCAGATGCAGTTACCAAAGCATTTGCTCTTCTACATTCGACGTGGCTTATCATCCAATGCATCGGTCAAGCTCGCACTGGCCTTCCATCATCGCAACTCGAGATTCTACCGCAACGTGCTTGGTATGTGCCCTGGTTTTGTACAGCGTTTGATGGATCGGCCATCAGATATCGAATACATCGCCTTCTTAGTCGAATTCAAGAAGGACGGCGGCGGCGAAGATCGCAGGTCGCCAGACAGATGTGGACAGGAAGTCAATAAATCAGCGTTCGCCAATGCTTCAAAGGCAGTAGTCGAATCAGAGCATGATATTACCCTGATAACTGGGACAAAAGACACGCACTCTTCAAATAGAAGAATCTGCCCCCCGGATTCGAAGCTGCCTGCAAAGAGCGGAACTCTAGAATTGTCATCTCCCTCCAGGAGCGACATCAAGAACGGGGAAGATGGCGAGTCACAAGAGTATGACGCTTTCAAACAGCAAGTCAGAGAACTATCTCTTCGCCTGGAACTGGGAATTTCTGTGACAATTAGACTCCACTGGGGAATTTTTCCTGCCATATCTACATGCCTGCCCCTTCGGCTTTGTATCTTTACCTATGTGCAGCAATCTATAGGCACCTCAAATCCCCGTGGTTAAACCGTTCAGATAGTGAAACTTCCGCTCGTGGTCATGGACCGTCAACCGCATGGAAAGCTCCCAATCCTCGGTCAGCCGCGGGAATGGCGAGCGAGGCTATGTGGTTTCGCCTTAGAATTGCACCCCTTCTATCTTCGCTGCGTTAGTCTACATTTCGGCACGCCTGGGTATATTGGTTCTTACTGACATCTGCTTGTCTTCCATGCCGGCAGGATTGTACCAGACTGTTGAATTGGCGAGCTACATGCCATTCCTCTCCAAATCTCAGGTACTTAAAGCTGATAGTCATTCCAGGCCCGTCTCAAGCATGAGGCAAGCTAGAAAGCCAAGGGAAGGGCGCCAGGTTAGTGGAAGGATATGAGTACGCATTCAATTGACTATGATCATTACCTTAGTATCAGCCTCAAGGCGCGCTTAGACAGAGGGCCAGACTTCCTCGAGTCTGGAATTGAATCCGCAGTATCTGCAGTGGGGATTTCGGGGGATAAATTCTTGTCCCAACGGACACTGGATGTCTTCAGTGGCAGCTAGGGGCATAAGAGAATTCCCATGTAAGTTGCATTGACCATGGCGAAGTTTCCAACCTTGCCAAGTCGCAGTCCCAGGTAAGTATGTCCTCGATTCTGCAGCCGGATCAACGTACGTTAGCTGCTCCCACGATAGAACGGCAACCTTCGTCTTGCCTACGCCCTCTACGACAGACGTTACAAAGTCCTCTAAATCTAAGACCGACGTTGAGCCGCTGTATTGAAAGTGACCAAAATGAGCACATTCGATTTTTCACTTTGGCCACAGGCCGGCCTGCCGTTGTCCGCCTCGACGCATGTCTTGACTGCAGTGTAAAGTGTTGTCAACTACCTCGTACTGGATTCTTCTTACTCGTGGGTGGTGGCGTAGAGAACCACAGCAACACAAACATGACGAGGGCGGCGTCTAGATACTTGATGGGTTTATTCAAATTCATGGCTCTTAGCAAGCTCTTCCTAGCCTCAGCACCAGACTATCGCTTGATTTCAGATAATAATCCCTGGATTTTTACGACGTAGTCGGCAGAAGTGTGTTACATAATGGAGGAACTGTAGGAGCCCCTTTGCAACTCGGTGCGACGCTCAGGAGTGCTCAGTGGCGTTCGGCTAAGGGCTCAGTTGATTCTACTAGGCTCAGGTCAAAGCAGGCTCACTGGGCTTGGCTTCGTTGTTGAGTAATCTGAGCAGTACGAAGGAGTACTCGCGTTTAATATCGGTTTCGGAACAGGTCGCTTGGTTGGTCTATACCGAGGCAATTCCGCCTGTCCAAAAAAAAAAAGACTTGGCTTTGTACAGGAACTGGATATTTCAAGAGGAAGGCAAATGCGGAATTTGCCAAGTTGCGCCGGTCTTCTTCCTGCGTGCAAAAAAGGAACAAAATACCTCCCTGTCCCTCAACAATCCATGGCCTACTAATCATCACACCGTGCGCCGTTCTTCTTACTCTGAAAAGACGACCTCAGTCATTGCGCGCCTGTACGATCAGGGACAATATGATGCCCCCCCGGCTAATGGAAAAGACCGCATCCGATGGGAGGAATAGGAATTTGACATTGTGTTGTCGCCGTGTCGGCGTGCGACTGCCGTATTGCACACTAGGTGGTACCCTCTGTTTGCGGTATGATGACTGGAGGACTAGCTTAGGCGGCAGCTTGATTGAGGAAAAGAATCACCGTCTATAGGCTGCCAGCCTGTCTGAAAAGACGACCGTTGCGGAGATCTCAATCAACCAGCGTGTCTCGACGAGCGGTTGAGGGCTGTTGTTCAGCCGTTGACATGGTTTTTGTGGTGGCAGCCATTGCCGCTGAATATCATGTGCGCCTTCACTCAATCTCCAGAATCCTCTCAAAGTCCAGAGGGCTCTCCCCTCGGCGCATCCTCCATTTGTTGGTCGACTTCTGGACGTTGATTGCTCCTTTGAGAAGGAAAGGCCACTTGCGCGTAAATGATTCTGTCACTTCCCAACCCTCAGAATCCCATGGTTCCGACCACACAATCAGCCCATTCGTCTGTTGGGAGTCGAGGTCCTCCAGGCCAGTGTAGTTGCCATCCCCGACCATGTCGAGACACAGTTGCAGATCGTCAATATTTTGTTCCCCGTATCGAAGGATATTGTCTCTCATTTCGGGATCAGGAAAAATGTCCCACATTGGGTGGTGTGGCATGGTCTTTTGCAATTCAGTCGGCTGGAGTGAAGGTGGAAGGTGCCGTATGTTTGAGGTGGCGCTTTGTGACATGGGCAGGAACGGCGAGGGATAGTCGTCGAGGTACATCAGATTCATATCAAGACCCAGCATATGGGTGTTTGAAATGAGTGCTCGGTATACATTGTAATAGACTAGGGAGACCAGGTGATCGGAAGGAAGCGGGTACATCCAAGCATTGTCTTGGTCCTTCGTCAGCTTCTCCGCCATCTCCTTGATGCTGGCCAGCCGATTTTCGAGAAGCACCTCGTACCATCGCTGGCAGGCATTCTTGCTCCGTATGGAGACAAATGGTGACCGGTTCGCGGGGTCGGGTGGCTGAAGGGCAGTGTGCCATTCGGTACGGCTGACTCTCTTGCTCCTTAATACCATGAGGTCGTTAAGACCGGCCCGCTCCACCAGGGGAACATCTTTGAGCCCTGCAGCTCGAGACGAGCTACTGCTTGACGAGGCGTCCTCCCCACCCTTGTTCTGTGCAGCCTTGCGGCGTCCTATTCGACAGGTCAGCGGTCCGCATGGCAGGTACAGCACGCCACCACAGTTGGGAAACAAGTCCCAAACTCACTTGCAGCTCGTTGGTTCAATCGATTCTGAAGCTTCCGACGAATCACAGGGTCTGTGACCCCAGACCATTCTTCGTCTAGCGACTGCACATCTGGGTGCAATTTCAATTCGGCGCGAAGACCAGGTGGAAGTGACATGGCTTGTCCCTTGTTCCTGCTACGGAGTATCTTGTACTATGCTCTGCACTCACTGGGAGATGTGGAAGACGGGGTCAGATGCATTGAAAGTGGAAGAACTTGGTGTTTTAACTGCATCTTGCTGACATGGAGACAGATGCCCCAGACTGCAAGGGACACGATGGTGGCGCCGCCCAGAAACACCAGTGCACTTATGTCAGCATTTGGAGAGAAACAGAAGTTCTGATTGGACAAATGGACCCACCTTATGCAGGCTGCTGACAAGTGGATCATCGGGTTTTTCCTGAATCCAATCACAGCGCAGTCGGAACGGATCAACTTCGTTCCATATGCCTGTCTTCCCTGCAAGTAGCTTGAGCGGTATTATGTTATAACGAGGCTGTATCCCGTTTCATCCAATTTCATCCACATACGTCACGAAGGAGCGCGGTTCTGCGACAAGTCGCAAGGTCCATAGCCACAATTCGCTCGAATTGGAACGTGCTTGAGAAGAATTGCAGGACATATAAAGGCGGAAGGTACTGATATGCTTGCAAGGATGAACCACAATCGCCATCACTATCACCGTCAACCGCGGCAGAAGCAGAATCTGCAACAAGCACACCACCGAGTTTTACCTTGCGCTATCCTTCCGTTCAACCATCCTGGGCCCCAAACATGTCCCCTCGTTTCAAGTGGTCGCCAGACTTTCTACCCTCGCTAGATGGGCGTACGTATCTAGTGACAGGCGGCAATACCGGCATAGGATTCTGGACAGTGCACCATCTAGCCCTGCACGGCGCAACCGTGTACATGACCTCACGGTCCCCCGAAAAGGGAGCGTCCGCGATATCGTCGATCAAGGCGTCGATCAAGAAGACACACCCGGATCTTGAATCGAGAATCTATCTCGTCGTGATGGACCTGATGTCGCTGCGGTCTGTCGTCGCGGGCGCCAAACGCATCCGCACTGAGTGCGCGCAACTGCATGGCATCGTCAACTCGGCGGGGATCATGGCGACGCCGTACCAGCTCAGCGAGGACGGCTACGAGTCGCAGTGGCAGACGAACTACCTCGCGCACTGGCTGCTGACATACCACCTGCTGCCGTTGCTGGAGTCGACCGCCGCGGCTGCCGGTCAGGAAGGGGCCGTGCGCGTGGTCAACGTCAGTTCCATGGGCCACGCCGCGACGTTCAAGGAGGGCATCCGTTTCGAGGACACGGGCCTCAAGGACGCCTTCACTTTCCGCCGCTACGCCCAGAGCAAGCTGGCAAACATCCTGCACGCCAACGCCTTGCACGCGCGGTACAACGACAACGACAACCACAAGGACGAGCAGCCCAACCCCAACTCCAACTCCAAACCCCGCATCTGGGCCATCTCGCTGCACCCAGGCAACATCGACACGCAACTCAACGCCCGGGCACGGGGCGGCTCCGTGCTGACCCCCATCCTGCGCTGCATGGGCGCGTACATCACCCCGGAGCAAGGGAGCTATAATTCGCTATGGGCCGTCGCGGGCACGGGCGAGGGCGTGGAGGCCATCTCCGGAGGCTACTTCGTGCCCGTCGGCGAGCGCAAGGCGCCCAGCAAACTGGCGCAAGACCCTGAGGGAACGCTGGCGAGCAGGCTATGGGACTGGACTGAGAGGCAGATGAGGACGAAGGGGTTCTTGGACGCGATTTGACCGAGGTTTTATATGTAGACTACGAATGAAGCTTCAAGGATCTGATGGACTGCGAAGGTCGGGATAAAGACGGACTAGAGCATTGATAAAGACAAAGGCAAAAGGTAGGGGGGCACTGGTGAGGGTCAGGAGGGGGGGGGAGTTGGGGCCAATATGTACATCATTCAAACTAGAAGGGGAGTTGAAAGGAAATTCTCAAGGAATAACTGCTCTTTCTCACACGTTATATTTTCTTCCCTTTCTTTCACTTACATCTTTTGGGTTGTATGGAATGTAATATGAGTCTCATTTGATATCAGTTGTACGGATACAATACTATGTGAAACACCACGCGAGCCGTTTCGTTTTTTCAGTTCTTGAAATCCTATCCCGTCCTCCTCCGAGGAGGCTCCCCTTTGTTTCCTTTGGCGTCCCTGCCCGAAAACAGTGGAATCAAGACATTACCTCACCTCGCCGGTTTGAGTCTCGGGATGCATTTACATAACGCCCCACGAAGGCATCCCAAATATTCAGCAATATGCGGTCCACAAGATGGGACATATCCATCTTTCGATATTCTCCAGTCCCACTCGACGAGGACTTGAAGCAGAAATTAGTATAAGGGGTGAGGAGAACTCAGACAGATACCTCCTAGCCGTCGCTGAATCATGAAATCAACACGAAAACTTCAGGCTTCCATTTCCGAGCTCTGAGATCTCGACCTTCCTTCCCTGCGTCGCACCTCTATACCCGTACACCTCGTGACTGCTCTCTTTTCGCACCACCAGTCCATTTCCGCTGGCGCCAATACTCCCCATCCCATAAGTCGAAAGGTGAACCATACCCTCCCACTGAGGCGGATAGGCAATATTCATACTTCCACTACCCCGTACAGTGTGGACGGCTTCGATGGCACGGATCGCCTCAGTCGAGCCCAAGCTCGGGACAACCTTGATATGCTGGCTGCCTTGGTTGGAGATAGTAGAAATGTTCGATTGGGGATCCATCTCGGAGACGCCGACAGCAAATATGGTCAACGAGATGGATCCCGCATTCGTGGAGACGGAAGTCGATCCGCCGTTGCCGTGCACCACGTTTCCGGAGATGCTGCCCGCGCCCGTAGAGATCTCCGTCATCAGCGTCCTTGACTTCGCAGCGTCTGGGATGGTGGGTTTCGTGAAGAAACCGCCTCCGGATATCATTTTCACGTTTACGCTCCCTGCCGTGGTGGACAGACGAAGGACTGCTGGTTTATCTCCTGGTTGAACCTCGACGGTAACCGCGACGCTGCCAGCTGTGGTGGAAAGATCGAGCAGATCGTAAAGCTGGTAGGTACCACTGATAGAGCGGAAGGTCTCATGCTCACGATGCTCACGTTTTGGAGGAGGCCAGGGTGTCTGAGATGGGCGTGAGCCAAAGCTCGGGAGCTGGTACCGTCCATCCTGTGCCAGGAGAAACATTAGCACCTGTACATCAATTTAGACGGTAACATCCAAGAAAGAATGGATAGAAAGAAACGGGCCATGTACATTCTTGAGCGATCGACAGAGGCCCGGAATCAAAAGCCATAGGCAGGCAAGAAGGGCCAAGATGAAGAAAATTGTTCGCTTCAGTCGGCGTGCTCGACCTTTGTCACGACTGCAGTGTCGCATACCGCGGCCGCGGCCGCGACCACCGCAGCCTCGCGCTTTTCCAGGTGTCCGACACCATGTTCTCTTGTGGCGTGGATGCTGTTGCAGGAACACGGGGAGGCTATCTGAGTCTGCATCCTCTTCGTGCTGGTGATGATCATGATGGTGGTGGTAGAGATGATGGTGATGGTGTCGAGAGTGATGATCATGCGGGACAGTTTCGGGCAAAGACGATGGACCCTCCTCTTCATCATGGTCTCCGAATGGGCATGGGGAGGATTGTGGGTTGGAAGGGCAGGACGCTGTGGCAGGAGCGCTTACTGGCTCTGGTACTGGAGATAGATTCGGTCTCGCAGCCACGGGGGAGGCTGGTGCTGCAGGCGATTGAGATCCAACTTGGGTGCTGGCGGAGGGGGTGTAGACTGGGGGTGGATCCGACGGATCCCCGTCTGATGAAAGGTGCGGCGGATATCTCAGATCCCTCACTTCGTCACCGTCGACAGTTGAGGCGGTTGGAGTTCTGTTGGTAGCTGGAGTGCCGCCAGCAAAGTTGTCGGCCCATGAGCCTTGAGACCCAAGTCGTTGGGCTTCGGCCGCAGCGGATCGGGATTTGTCTGCATCCCCTCCACGCTGGTAGGACGTGGGAGACTGGGTGTTGCTATCGTCATTGTCGTCAGGGAATGTCTCGTAGTTGCGAGACGGGTATTGTTTGCGGATAGTCATGGTAAAGAAGTCCTGTGTGCCAGTTACTGATGCAAGAAGCGGGGTTCGACCCAGCGCATTGAGACCGGAGATGGGACTTTTAAGATATAGATGCTCTGGTCGAAGAGGCAGGAAACAAAAAGGACAATCAGAAAATCATTGATCCGATATCTGAATTGATTACCTTTGTATCATCATCTATATCCAAGGGAGTCAAAATGGGGTGACTGCGAGATGCGAGATGTGAGATGTGAGATGTGAGATGTGATGCCGTATTAGTTGGTGCAGGCAGACACCAAAAGAACCTGGAACAGTGCCAGCGGCGCCTACTGAGGGCCCCTTTGCCCTAAACCCCCCCCCCCCCCCCCCCTTCTCTCCACCGCCTCCACCATCCTTGGTCATCCCCGACCTCCGACTGCGGCGCTCTCAAAAGACGTTACCGACTTCATGCACGTCCCATGCCCACCAAGGAGGAGATGGGAATTGATAGGCTCTCAAGGCCCAACCTCATGGTGCCCTTGTTCCCGCAGCGCAGGTCAGGCCCCCTGCTTCCGTCTAGAGCTTCTGTCAACGTCATATTACTCCTCGCAAGCCGCAGACATCGTATTCGTACCAACGGCACCACCAGCTAGTGACCAATCTCGCAAACTCTCTGGAAGGTTATAGAGCGTTAATATAAGCGGTAGAGTTGCGCTTGAAGCAGCTGAAGGCAACCACTCCGGCGGGCATGGGTAGATACAATGAGCTCCTAGGAGGCCCAAGATGGCCAACTCCAGCCTGCGATTTCAGGGCACAGCGAGAATATTAACATCTCAAAGCTTCCATTATCCAACGACAATACTAGGGGGGATATCTGCGTGTGAATGAATGTACAGTCCAGTTTGGTGCCAGTATCCAATGTGAACTCCCTCGCTGATGCATCTGGAACTCGACTCGCTAATCTCGCTCAATCCATCTTTGCTGAAAACTCGCAACGCTTCACTGACCGAAGCATATCCAACACTGTGCAGAGAGCTTTTGGACGAAATCACAACATGCACGCTCATCAAATCAAGAATTGTCCCTGTTCACAGCACGTACTCACTCCTGCGCTGACTTTGGTTCACCAATTGTCCAGAACCTAGGCAAATCCCAGATTTTCCAGAATTGCTTTGGCTTCATTCATCGGCAACCCAGCGACACCCAGCGCACGGACTTGCGTTCCCCTTCTCAGCCGCTGAAGACCAACAGCGACTTTCCACCCTTCGGATTGAGACAGAATAAAGACGTACTTCTTGCCTTCTTGATCGCGAATGCTCGCGCGGAGGACGTGGAGGCCGGAGAGTTCGCAGCTCTGTGTTATTGTAGAGTCAGTATCAGTTGAGGTAGTTGACCTTGTGGTCGACGAAGAAGAACACGAGAAGCGGCTCTGAGATCGAGAGCCAGAGGACTTTTTCATGCACACCTCTCGGCAGGTATCCAATAGCTTATTGACAAAAGCTGTCGATTCGTTCTCCGAAGGTGAAGGAAATTCCCACCTCGAGTCGGCGTTCAATCCGAATCCAAGGGAAAATTTTCCGTTTGAGGAAGCACGAATCCATATTTTTAAGGGAAGAAAGACTGGGACACCATACCTCTGCCAATTTCATCGTCCAGGCCTTAACATCCCACTCACGCTGTGGCACTCCTCGTACGTCGTCGTCGATGAATAGGCCCTCGGTCGTAATCCGCAAAATCAGTCCGTCTGTGACATTACCTTGTCCAGATACCAGCTGGGAAATCGGGGTTCGCATGAAGGCATTGTTGAAGGAAAAGACGCCCTTGATAATGATCTTGTCAGGGTCTTTGGTCGAATAAGGCCCACGCACTGAAGCCGGTGGTGTGGTTTTGGCGGTGCTCTCTGACGGGACGTACGAGGATTCTGAGTACATCGAAGCCGCAGAGTTGGCTTTGTGTGTTCGTTTCGGTCGGTCGTAGGGTCTAAAGGAGTATGCATCGTCGTCTCGTTCCGTGGTCGCTGTCGGCATGGGCGGACGCTTGGGGGGGCTTCGGACACCCTGCTCTTGCTTCTCCTTCTCAGCTGCTGCAGCTGCGGCAGCTTCGGCGGCGGCGGCGGCTTTTGCGGCAGCCTCCTTTTCTTCACGCTCTTTCTTCTCTTTGCGCTCGCGTTCAAGTCTCTCTAGCAACTCTTTTTCTCTGAGCTTCAACCGCTCCCTCTCTAGATGCTCCTTTTGTCTCTGCCGTTCCCTCTCTAGTTCTTCTTTTTGCCTCTGGAGCTCCTTCTCCAGTTCTTCTTTCTGCCTCTGCCGCTCCTTTTCTACTTGTTCTTGCCTCTGTCGCTCTTTCTCCAACTCCTCCTTCTGTCTCTGTCGTTCCTTTTCCAATTCCTCCCTCCGTCTTTTCAGTTCCTCGGCTCGTTTCCTCTCTTCTTCTCTTTTTCTCGTTTCTTCTCTCGCCTTCTCCCAGCTTGACTTAGCGCTCGTAGTATTAGCTTTGGTGTTGGCCTGGGGTGGCGGTCTCTGCCACGATGACTGGGGGGGAGGACTGCTTGTTCCATGGTTAGGCGGAGGTGGAGGAGGGCCAGCTGCTCCGGGATTTGGAGGGGGAGGGGGAGGCGGCGGAGGGGGTTGAGTCTGCGGTTGAGGCCCGGGTTGTGTGTAAGATCCAGTGTTGCCGTAACCACCATGGCCTGGACCGCCAGAACCGGTATCAGCACCTCCACGATTAAATCCGCTATAGCTTTGCCATTCACTCTGAGTCTTTCCAAATGCCCAGGCCACCACTGCAACACCGCAAATGAGCGTGAAGACTCCCGTCCCACCACTGTTGATGGTACTTAATAGCCATTCCTTGACAACGGGCACAGCGGTGTAGTAGATAAAGAAGGAGGCTGCGGTGCAGAAGACTCCGGCCAAGAATGAATTGCGGTGTGTCTGGAGCGAAGGGAGGTATAGGAAGCCCGAGCCCGAGGAATGTGGAGGGATGACAAAAATGTCATATTTGCCGTTAGGGAGACCTCCGGACCTGCCACCGCCTTGAGGATTTGTGCCATGCGGTGGCGGCGGAGGCGGAGGTGGCTCCATGAGAGCAGAGCCCTCTGGTGGCTTTTAAAATTTTCTATCTCTCCAAGCACAAGTGTATTGTCCGTCGTAATTGTGATAAGGCCTTCTTTTTCATATTAGCAGCTGCTGGACTGCGCAGAGGGCAGTTCCAATGCCGGGGGACGGGGTCCGAATTGTGGTGAGAGGCTGAAAAGGCACCGATGCGTGAGGAAACGGGATCGTTGTTGACTGTATCGTTTGTTTTTGGGGCCTGCAAATGAAAATGACGGTCGAGAGGGAGGTGTTCCAGATTTCGAGTGTCTGAGAAAGTTGCTTGGTTGGTGTAAGGAAGAGTCTGGAAGACAAGAGCAGGACAGGAGGTGACAGCGCAGAAACAAAGCCGCGACTGGCGGTCCTGGCACTGACAACTGATGTGATTTGACTTTGGAGCCCTCAAGACTCGACAGGCAGGGAACAAGGTGGAAGGGTGGACTCGTTCTTGAAGTGTGATGGCGCTAAAGCGGGAGGAAAGGCCCTCGAGGGTGTCGGGGTCACTTTCCGGCTGGCAGGCACCCAGGATCCTGGGATATGGCCCAAAAAGGAGACGGTACTAGTCAACGGTGATGGAGGATGGGAAAACAAGATTGAATTTCCTTTTTTTTTTTTTTCTCTCTCTCTTTTCTTCGGATGAGATTTGTGAAAAAGGTGCAGGACTCCCAGAGGTGCGTGGTTGAGGCAGGATGCAGGACTGCAACCCAGAGACACAGCAGATCTTTTTAATTCACTCTGGGAACCTGCAACCTGCCTGCCCGCCTTTTCCACTCGCATAAGGAAAAGGCCGGCTTCTGCACCCTACGAGCACGAGGACAGCATACATAAATATGGATTTTCTATCGTGGTTCGAGGCACGCACTACTGGGCGAAGCCAAAGAGGGGATTTGCAAAACAACAAAGTCGACCCATATCCAATGGAACGAAGGGCCAGCAGCAGGATGATGCCGCCAGATGCTGGCGCATGCACTCGAATTTTGCTAGCCAGGCAAATCACAATTGCAGCTCCAGTGTCCAGGCCGCTGATAGGCAGGCATTGCTGCAGAAATCAACGCGCCTCTACCACGTCGGGCTGGTAAGGGCCCTTCCAGCAGGTAACCAGGACAAGCATCCTTCGCTTAGCCCAGCATCAGCAGTGAGCGAGGGAGCGCCGGTGTCGGTGTGCCGACGCATGAGAACAGACCACGTTGGATGCTGGAGCAGGCGGTGAGTTCATGTGATGGAGTTTTCCCGGGGCTCCATGCGTGACGACTGGCTGGCGAGGATGTGATGCGCGATTGCAAGGCTCTGGTGGTGCTAGAGCTGATGATAAACAATGCGGCCCGTTGAAGGGTTGACGGGGGAACACAACGGCGGGCGAGAAGCTAATCGCTCGCTAACACGAACCAGTGCCGGGGGTCAACGGTTGGTGCAGAAGCCTAGCTGGCGCCTAGCTATGCCTAGCTGTGTCTAGTGAGTGCCTAGAGACGCCCTAGTGAGCCACCCAGAAGCCTCCCAGCGGGAAGTCTGGGCTCCTCCCGGCCGGCCTCGTCCAACCAATCGTCGCCTAAAACCTCCGAGCGGTTCCTCGTGGTTGATGTTCTTCATGCATGCTGCATGATGACTTCATATGAAATTGAACCACGATCACCGTGTTCCAGGCCTCCCTCAAAAAGTGATCTGAACCTCTCCCTTACCCGCCCGCCAAAATAATAAAACAACAGCGGACTCGGCGCTATCAAGACCGCCAGAAACCCAAAGTAACTGATCCCCCATCCATAGCCCAACTTTTCAAACAGGAGCGGCGCGACTAGGGGCACCACACCGCCCAGCAGACTCCGAAATACAGATCCCCCTGCAATGGCCGAGGCCGCGTACGTCGAGAACGAATCAATGTAATAATTCTGTACGGTGTTGAAGACCACCACTTGGCCCACGCCGTAGAAGTATGTCGCGGCAATCCTCGCCAGCCAGTGGACGTGGAACTGCACGGTTCATGCGAGCCAGAAGAGACTCACCGGGACAGAATGCTGCCGACGTTGGCGAGCGGTAGACGATACTCTGGGAGCGCCTGTCCGCCATGCTTCTCAGTCAGTTTGTTGAAGACGGCGTCGATGCGTGGGACGAGGAATCGGACCGAGGTCAAGAATCCCAGTCCTGGTCCTAGATATAAGAGGCCAATCTTTTCCGAGCTGAAATTGTAGGGCGGTTCCGAGTAGATGCTCTGCGTGTTGGTGTAGATACTGTACGTGGTCCCAAAGATCAGGGCCTGGTACATGCTCATCGTCAGCACAATGAGCTGCACGAATATAATAAAAGGCCGTTTCATGCTGGCCAGGAGCTTTTTGGACAGCGGTCTTTTGTCTTCGCCATCAAAGTAATATCTCGTCTTCATTCCTGAGCCCTGAAAGTCCTGCTGGGCAAGCTCGGATTTGCGGCGACCTGGTAGGACAGGTGCGTAGGTCTCTTTGAGGAAGAGATAGCCAATTGCTGTGTTGATGGCAAAGACGATGGTGAGAAACTGGGCCCAACCCAAGTCATTAGTCTGTGTACGAGGTACTCCATGCGAACCTCATTTTTAAGTCTGGATTGACCAAATTTCCTGAGCTCACCCAGTATATCCATCTCCACCCCAAACGACTGACGATCACTCTCCCGAACAGTGGTCCAAGGGTTGGTCCTGACATGCTGTTAGTCACATCTCACGGACCTTCATCTGGTTCTTGTATAGTCACCTAACAGGGGCCCGAGGAGGTACTATCCAAAGATTCCCGCCCGTTCAGATGGATTGTACATGTCCGAAATAGTTCCGCCCCCATTGGCGATTCCAACACCTGCAGCACCGATCAGCCATGTTTTTTTATTCATTCTACAAATCTCCCCCACGGTCATAATTTCACTCACTGCCAAAGAAGCCCGAAACCGTCCCATGGCAATCAGCGTCTGTATGTTTGGGCTCAACGCCGATGCCGCCTGGAGGACCGTGAACACGGCAAAACAGCTAACATACAACGCCCGGCGCCCAAAGTCTTCGGACAAGGGAGCCCAGACCAAAGGCCCCAGGCCGAGGGTGATGACAAACCCCGTCGTCGTGGCGATGACGCTCTGTTCATTCGTGTCGAAGTCCTCGGCGATCTGGGAGATGCTGAGAGTGAACAGGGAAGAGGCCAAGGGGCTCAGGATAGCCATCAATGAGATAATGCCCACGTTGAGCACCTTCTTCCGGCCATTCCAGGCTTTGGGGTTCTCTTCATCGTCCGTACCGAATTGGATCTGATGCGTCTCATCGCAGCTGCATTGGCTGGCGATGTCAACGTCTCCGCCGGGCTGTAGCAGTGGCCGCTCTTCATCGTCGCGGCGACGAGGAGGCATCGGCTCTGGTTATGGAGGCAGTGCATCAACTGATGTCGACAACAACGATATAGCTGACCGAAAGCATGACATGAAAGGGAATGATAAGGGTTATGTCGCAGACACAAGAGAAATAAAATCGACTTTGAATACCAGATCTGCCGCTTGCATCTATGACGACTACTGCATCTCCTGCTCCATACAAGTGCGGGCGTTGGCCATCTCACCTTTCAAACGGACGTCGATCCTAGCGAGCTTCTAGCTTTTCGATCGCCGTAGAGGCAGTCCCCCTGCAAAATCTCCATACACGTCCAGCGTGATTTTCCATGATTTTAAAAGACATGCGTTCGTGAATAACCCAACCCACCTATTTTCAATTAAGGTTAGGTTATCGCCAAAGAACTATAGCCAAAAATCTGGTTGGAGCTGAGGGTGGTTCATATATCTATTGACCAGTAGATCTCCAGCTGTGTTCGTATATCTAGGGCCCATCTTGCGTCGGCCTAAGAGACAGAGAGACTATGCTTAATAAGACATTGCTCGACTTTCGAGGGTTAAAAACACACGCGCTGAATCAAAGCTGAATGGTTGTACATTTGTAGGTCGTGAGTTCGCGTCTCCGGGGGTGCAACCGCTGCGTCGGTATTCGATGCTTGCATTTCATGATATCCACCTTTGTGATCGGGTACCCGTCTAAACAGAGCGTAATTCACTCTGGAGGGGGTCGTGATTCCACTGGTTTTCTCCGTTTCCTGGCGCTAGCAATAGCATGCTGCGCTGATGCAGGTGAAGACGTAGGGGACGACAGCCTCCTATTTCTCGTTGTCCGCAGTTTTGGCGTCTTATAAGCCTCTTGTCATCATGACACGATGGTATTGCCTCTTTCCCAGGGGTAGTCACCTCTCCTGGCCCCGTTCATTCGTTTGTGTAGGTTGCGGTCCTTTTGCTTCTTTCCGGGCTAGCACCGTCGCCATCCACTCTTCAAACTCTTCCTCTGCTTGTTTTTCAGATTTGCCCGTCCCATCAATACCCAGTCCGCCCCTCAACTTCCTCCGCGCTTCTGCCAAGCTATTGATATCGAGATACCATAGAGCTCCTCCAGTGGCCATCATCGTCAGACTAAGCACGTTGATAGTTGCAATGTTCAGTGCTTCGACAGCTTCCATGGCACCATTCACTTTTTTCGCTTGTTCTGCTTGATGTCCAGGGGCATTGGCGTAGAAGGCTGGGCTAGCAGCTAGCCGTTTCCGCGCGAGGCTTCTTCGAGTGACGAGGAGCGAGAAAGCGAAGAATACGGCGCCAGCTCCGAAAATGAGTTTGTTTCTGTTCACGCGTTCGGTTTGCGTAGGCTGTGGTGCAGGGAGTTGGACTGCCTCAATGGTGGGTTCGGCTGGCTTGACGGGTTCCTCGAGGACGCGCTTCTCAGCAACTGGAGGTTGATTGACCGGACGAGACTCTGAGTTCTTCGAAGATGCGAACCATGATGTGAACCACGACATTATGGCAGGAATGTGGCTAGCTGTTCGGCGGAGACGTGGGTGTTGAACTTTTACGAGAAACAAAATTGAAAAAGTTGAAGGCAAGACCAATGCACGTGCCCTCCCGCGGGTTGGGAGAAGAAAACATGTGACGAACTTCGGAGGTCCGAGGGGGTTTGAGAGAATGCTTAGCCCTCTCGCCCTACTCCCACAGAAAGTTTCCTTCATGCCTCAGCATCTTAATTATCTGCTCCTTTTCCATGGAGAAAAGTAGTGCTAGCCTCGATTACTATTCACAACGGCCGTCACTTCATTTCTCTTCGTTCGGCCGTCCCAGCTACGGACAGCCAACTTTGCACAAGACGGCCTTCATCAAAATCCAAGGGATACATAACCCCTGTACCTATTCCTTTTCACTTTGTTCTGAGTCGACATGCTCAGCGGTAGCCCCGTGGCTAATTTCATGCTTCTCCACGTCTCTACCTGTGGAAGGTCGCGGGTTACTAGCCTCAGTTGCGACCTTGTGCACACCAGTATGACCGTGTTCATCAACGATGAGCTCATGGGTGCGATGATCGACGTGGAGGTCTTCCGCGTAGACGGCGACCTCGTCTCCAAATAGTTTTGCCATCTCTTCAAGCGGGATGTTCTTCGTCTCAGGAAGGTAGAAGTATGCAAAGAACGCGCCGAGGCCCGAAAGGATAATGAAGACCAGATAGAACTTCCAGCCGATATTGGCAAAAGCCTACAGAGGTCAAGTTAGCAATGATGAAAAAAAGTCGAACATGACAACAACACTTACTGTCGCTGCAACTTGTAGATAGACCAAGTCTGTCAGTGCAATGACAGCAATACTGAGAGCCAGGCCCTTCGCTCTCAGATGGTTGGGGAAAAGTTCCGAATAGAAGACAACACCGGCGACGTCGATGCCGACGCTGTATACTAGCAAAAACAAGTACGCAGCCGCAACGCCCATTCGAAGACCAGCCTTGTTGGTCCCTTCCTCGGCGTAGGAGCTAACCATCGCAGCTTCGAGAATGAGCGACACGCAGCAGCCAGCAACACCCATGACAAGCAGAGGTTTGCGGCCGGTCCAATCCATGATTAGCGCTCCCACCAAGTTGCCAAAAATGCCTACAGTAATCCAGCCGCACTGGAAGATCAGTTGGTACAGGGTATCGTATCCTAGGGCTGCGTAGATGGTTGGACCTGGGACTCTCAGCGTTCGCCCACACAAGCAAAGGCAGGCCTCTTAAGCGCGAGCTCACCGTAGTTGTTTAAAACCAACACGCCCGTCGACTGGCCAATGAATGCGAAGCCCATGGCCATGATTGTGCGCTTGCGGTAGCTGGGGCGGCGGATCATTTCAAGCTTGCATAGTTAGGACTCTTCTATCAAATGAAGGCACATGGTTCCTTACCCAGCCCGGTTCCATGGTCCTATCCAACTCGGCTTGCTTTGACATCTGATAGAACTCCCCACGAGCAAATTCTTGGTCGGGGTCGTTCTTAGATGCGTGCAGCTTGAAGACAACGTCCCTCGCTTCGTCAATCCGACCCTTCATGAGGAGAAAACGGGGTGATTCTGGGATGACAAGGCAGACTAGAACCATCATCACTGGCCAAATGAGGGCAATTCCCAAAGGAGCTCGCCATTGGGTCTGCGGATCATTGACGTAGTAAAAGGCAAGACCCATGTAGCTGGCGAGAGCATAGCCCAGTGCGATATTGACACCGTTCATGCCCACCATGAGGCCGCGAAGGCCTGGAGGTGCCAACTCTGCAGAGTAATATGGGGCTTGATGTAGTCAGCAGGGAGCGACAAGATAGTACTGGTGGAAAATACATACTGACTGCAAGATAACCCCAGCTCCCGCCCCCAGCGAAGAGGCGAGCAACAATGAACATGGTGGAGTTTCTGCTGCCGCAAAGCAGCGCACCCCCAAGCAGCGACAAAAAGCCACACCAGTGGAATCCGGCCTTACGTCCCCATCTACCGGCGGTCGTTAGTAAGCCTATACGCCTGGCGAGGGCCTGGGAGATTCCAAACGTACCTGTCTGACACATAACCAGCGATAAAGACATTGATAGCAGCACCAGCTTGGAATACCTGAAAAACGGTTAGGGAAATCGAACAGAGACGGATGCCTGTCACTGAGGTTTGCGGAATCGATATATAGATGGAGAAAAATGGCGACGGAATTGTGTTGATAATGCGCCACGGCACAAGCATGCAAATTGTCGCGTTGCATCTGCTCTCGATTCCTCGAGAAGATTTCCAAGTAATAGTGGGTTCAGTGGTTCCTCGTTGCAGATCGTGGCCTTTGCATTTGAACCGCCCCTTCTTTCTATTGTTGAATCGGACTGAGCTTTGGGTTGTTGGGGATCTGGTTGTACGAACGCATTTTGACATGAAATTGAAATGGATCAACCTACTCCTGACATTGCCCCAATCTTCTGATCCGCACCTGCCCGTTCGTCAGTTCGCTGTGTGATGCTCTGGAAAGATGTTCTCCTCACCTGGAGTCATGACTGGGGGATCTTGTGTGACATCAAGCAGGCCCATGTAGACTAGAAAGGATGGTTGGGCAAGCGTAACACCAATGATGGAAGCAGGATAGCCAAAAGCGATCTGCCCCAGGGAGACCATCCAGCATATGAAGAAGTTCCATGCGCTCCAGTGACGTTCGGTGCCAAAAGCCATGGTGGGCGGTATGGTCTTACAGGATAAATATGACACTAGTCACGATAAGTAGAACTGTCTAGGGGAGGACGAAAGAAGAGCAACCAGGTGCTTCCCGACCTTTAATATTTCTGTGGAATACTCGCCCCATTAAAATGTATCTGGCTCAATATGCCGATTGCCCCCTATTCTCTACCGAAGCGAGACCGCGGTTATCCCCTTGCAGTATCTTTCGTCTTGCCTAGATTGCCCAGATCTTGGGCAGGATACTAGCGCACCAAGCTTCCATGTCGTTGGTTGTCTGATAGACTTTCGGCCATTGCTGGGTCAACTTTCTCCGCAGCTTGGAGAATGACATCCTTCATTAATACGAGATGTACGTCGAGTCATGTTGGTCGTCATTGCATATAGATCAACCATCGCAGCTGGTAAGCCCGAAACGAAATGGGAGGATGGCGTTGTCGAAAGGGGTTTGGGCAAGTTTCGATTTGGGATGTCGCTGTAACTTGCTTCTCTCATGCTGAAACCGCCCACAGGCGTTCGAGACTCTGAGCTGAATAAGTGAGCTATCCTCTCGGTGTGGGTTCAGAAAACCTGGGGAGACCTTGGGGAAAGTTTTGAGTTTGTGGGGTGGTGGGCAGTCTGGAACCAGTTACAAAAGTGGATTTTCCAAAGCTGTCGAGGCGCCGGTCACTCAGCGTGGGCTTACGGTCAAGAGAGGGAGGTTGCGAGATTGGACCGGAGACCTGATGGTCTCTCGGAAATCGAGACCAACCACCAAACGTACGCGTCGTCTGATCATGGAAAAGACTCGCCACATGGCGAGACTAGCAGCAGGCTTTTCGAGAGCCGGGGTCTGGAACATAGGTTCCTGGTCTAACCTGTATAATAGAGTTCAGCGAGTCAGTCAACCATGACACTGTTCGTATCATTTTCTTGGGAAAGGCAGGCGCAAAGTTTCCGCTCCTATTCAACGAGAAACGACGGCGGATTTTCACCGTTCTCGATAGCCGCTGTTGGACGAAATCTCACACTATCGGGAGAAAGATTTTGAGACAGCCCGACCCTCATCTGAGAGGACACAGAGGAATGCCGACAGTATGCGTGCTAATACCTGGTCATAGCCTCATGAATCTCGATGATGGGATGCTCACTCGATGCTGATCTCTGCTGCAATTTGAGACATCAAGTACTCGATTCGCTGGGCAGAGAGCGACTTTCTGTCGCAGGTCTGATTTGTGGAAAAGAGCGGAATAGCTCACTGCCACTGTTAGTTATTTGTAGCTTGCTCCAAAATTCCCCTCGGCTGACTCGATACCTCGTCCTCAGCATGTATTATGCCTTTGAACCGGTTTTTCTGTGGCTCCCGGGTCCTCTGGGCTGGCCATATCGACGAATTTAGGTCGTACATCAGGCTCTTAAGAGTAAAGTTTCAAAAGATCCGTCAGTCTATGCCAATACCCGCAGGTTCTTTTTGTATGCTCGCTGTCAATCTTAATCGGCGGTATACAAACCGCTCCGCAAAGGCAGCGGTACCAGCAATGAGGATCTGGAAGTTCGTTTTTGTTCTGTTTTCACTGAATGCACATTGCACACCTGGGTCAGCAGACGATCACTACGCCGCTGATCCTTGACAGATTGCAAAAAATTTACCTGTTGTTGTCAGATTAGTGCAAGCAGAGTACCGAGGCAAGTGACCGGAAGTGGTTAGTGTTCAGGGACCAATATCAACTTGGTCCCATTTCCTACATAGTAGCAAATCTTCGAACAGGCACCGAAGGAAGACGAAGACGATGTAAGAAGGAATGCCGCATATTGGGTTTGCGTCAAGCCACTAGTTTGGGATGTAAGACTGGCTCTTCCAGCGATGCCTGCACAGATGAAGGAGAAGGTCCAAGATGAGATGGATAATCGGTGGTAGGGACAAGAAAAAAAGGTCAACAGGGCTTGACCAGGGTTGAGATCCGAGGTTGTTGATGCACGCCGTGCGGGGCTGATGGGCCAACTGCTGCCGCCTTGGCTCGCTACTCATTTCGCGAATCGCCTCAGCATCGACTATGTACATGCCGTTTCGCCTTATCCTCACCCATCGCCTGATATGTAGGTGCCTCTAATGATACAAGATCCCATTGCTTATCGACAAGTTGGGCGTGGGACATCATCAAAGGAGACCGTGAAAGTATGTAATTCGAAATTTCACTTGGATTTGTCCACAGGACTTGTCTCAGACAAGAGCACGACAACACCTTCATACAGCCTGTACGTAGAGTCCATCTGACCTTTCTGTTCATATTGAGGCCCTACCGATACTATGTCCTCTCCCTGGCACCTGCACCACATACGCTCCTGGAAGCCGCTTTAGGTGCCCTGACGAGTCGACAACCTTAATAGATGGCTTTTGGTACTGTAGAAGGAGGATTTAGGAGACTAAACATTGGGATAATTGGGTGTTAGTTCGTTCCGGAAAAGGAGGACGACGAAATATCGGTTATTCTGCATTCGTCTAATTTGAAAGATCATCAAGGTGAAGTAATCTCATATACTTGGGGAGACGTCAACTCAAGTACTTCATTCCTCTGCGACGGCAATACGAGGTAGAGTCAAAGCAACGACGAACCTTCACGCCGCCCTGAGCCATCTTCGTCTCTCGTAAATCCAAAACATCATCCCGGCCTAATGGCTTATATACGTGATCGCATTAACCCAAGCTTTTTCTCAGCTTCAACCAAGATGACGTTGCAAAGCGCGGTCAACAAGCCAAGCAGATGGCCAGGATCTCGTAGGAGCAGAGCGGATTGAATTCTGAGTGCGCCAAAATACCCAAGTGGTCGTACTGCATATAGTTATTCTCCACTAGTTCTGGTGGCCACCTGGGATTGGCGAGTCCGTCACCACAATGAACCTTCTAGGGGGCTTTAGGCTCCTCCGGGCTCTAGGCGAGGTTAGGCTTCTTTGGACCCTCCGGCTGTTCTCTCCATCAAGGGGCGAAACAGTCCCTACCAAGCGGAAGACTTAGATCTAATACCTGGACTGTTCTCCTGAGTCCTGACATGATCTTCGTAGGTCACATCGACGATGGCGCCGTCCGCAGCCACCGTCACCCAACTCCCCTAACATCGAGTCGCAAACTTCAGTCAGCGGTATCGGCGACTAAGCCACAAGTTCATCCCAGGACGGCACAGCACGCAGCGAACGCGTCGTCAGCCGCGGCCACAGCATTCTTCAGCGGCTCCAACCAAAGACTGACATCCACTCTCTCCAGGACTTGACCTTTGAAACCATTACCGAGCTGGTCTCTGAAGCCCCCATCGCACTGAGCCAGCATACTAAGATCCTGGATGTGAACCTTATGCTAGGATTCGTGCGTCATCTGTTTCCGTCTCATTGCTCCAGTGAAACTCCCATGCCCATCAATAGCTATGACACAGGGTTACCTCTGGACAAGCCTGGCGCTGTGATTTGCTACCCTCGCTTGTCCCACCGTGCAAAAAGGCTATCTGACCCTGGCCACCACGTTCTTCGAGCTCTCAGTCCAGTTCGCCGACGACTTCACCGGCCAGCCGAAGTTTGACCACGTCACCACGTTGTTTCTGCACCGCATCTACCTCCTGCATGGCAGGGTGACCAGCCGAATAAGAGCAGTTATTGACCGAACAATCCAGATCGCCCATGACGGCGATTTCAATTGCGAATCCAACGAGAGGCGGGATGGAGTGCAGGAATTGCATTTATACTTGATCCTATGCTATGTTGACCAGTGAGTTGGATCTCGGCAGAGCGTTGCTGCTCTCTAAGTGATGCCATCAGATATTGCGCCATGAGCTTCAATTCTCCGACGATCACGAGGGCACATTAAAGGTGTCCTTCGGATCGAAACCAGAGTTGGACGAATCTGTGCCAAGGCGGGGCCAGTGAGACTGTCAGTAGATCCAGACAGACACGACCTTGGAGGCTCTCGTCCGCATTCACTTCTTCTGGTGCGTGCGCCCTTTCTTTGCGCCCGTCGTTCTCTCATCATTGTGTATAGGCTCCGGCTGTGCCTGCGCGCCTCCTGTGTCACTTCAGAACAGTCGTGGGTGCCTTCCATCAGTATCTGTCTCCGAGCTACTCAAATGCTGCTCAATAAGTACTTCGCTCTCCTGGCGCCACAAGTCACGAAACTGCAGCGTCCAGAGTTCGTCCGGTCGAGCGATGGTCATGGGCCCCAGGATTGTGTGATATCAGGGGTGCCATCGGCATGGAGGCAGGTCCAAAGAACCGTGACCTCAGGCCTGGTGATTGTCTATGCCTATTAGCATGGAGAATGCTCTCAAGCCGAAATCGCTCAATCAACCGCAATCACGGCACTGCGGCTCAAACCCCATAGCACGAGATGACAACAGCATCTGGACGGGCATTGCGCCCTGATTCGTTACCTCATCCGGATCTGCGACGTCCAGATCGAAGGCATGGTCCAAGCCTTGATGCCAGATCTGAGCCCGGAGGAGCATTACGCGATGCTCTGGTCACTATTCGAGCGATTTGTCCAGGAAGACGACCACGATGGCCACCCTGCAGCCAAGCTCGACAGACAGGCGTTGGATGTACTTGTAGGCACTACGTGTATGACCCCCCGGATGTCAAGGCAACCACTGCACTGGAATCGGGAAGTTGATGACCCGGACTTTTTGGCCTGTGCGTTTGACTCGTCTACGGAGCTGGGTTTATTCGGAGCCATGCCTCATCTGGAGCACATCAACTTCTGGACTTGACTCTAGCAGTAATGTGCTTATCTATGGCTACTCACGGCTGATCATACATGGACGACGGAAGACAGGTTTGTGGTACGATACTACCTACTTAGGTAATACATACACATCGAGACATGCAACCACGCAAACAAGTTCCATACCTATCCGCAACGCCGGAGCCTCGCTTAACCCGCCTCCGCCCCAGCAAGAACCCCACATGGCTCGAATGGATTTCCCAAAACGAGACACACACCTCCCAAAAGAGGCAAACACCCCCCTACCTCCATCTCCCAGCAAATGCATGTCAGAACTTTTATTTCGACGCTTGTTCTTCCTTCCATGCACGATTCTGCATACTAACCCCGACGGGAGGGACGACGGTGAGAGATGTGGCACCACCAGTAATAACGTGGCAGGAGTATGGCCATGGTCTTGGGCTGAGGATTGGTGTCAGACGAGACAAATCCGTATGCATAATACAGACACGAGAAACTGAACGAGTAAGGTGTGGTCGTAGCTAGTCACGTTGACTTGTGGCGTTGTAGAAGACATTATTTACTACGAAGAAACATGTCGTGCTTCAAAGTCGCAATACCGTGGTAATATGGTTAGAATGATGTTCCCACCTTTGCATCTTCAACCTTCCCATTGCAGGCAGAAAGTTCAAAATTGCAAACCCTCCGTCCTTCCTCCAATCTCGAGCCTGGGAATTCACACTTATTGCTCAATGCGTGTCCTCCCAAACTCGGCTCTTATACACACCAGCTCCGTAATTCACAAAGGGATCTTGAATCTGTGCTTGAACAGAAATGCAGCAGTCATGGCATTCGAGTCAGGAAGAGAGGTACAGTGGTCCCAGCAACTTTTGGCGCAAGACAGGGCTTATATCCTTTGTGAGTGTTAGTGCACCGTCGAGTTGCACGCAGGGGAGTCGCACATTGTCATGCTTGATAAACTTTGCCAAAGGCATGAAGAGATTTTGCCGCACGCCGCTTTAAGCCGTCCATATTCTTTGATTGAAATATAACGGTGCAAACAGATTATGGCCTCTGACACGAGTCCCGTAGCGGGTTTGCCTCATGACCCATTTCCAGTCCTGCTCGGTCGGGCTAGCGTTGGTTGGAAACAGATAGATCTTTTGGATCCGTTCCATTTGGCCACGAATCCATGCAATCTGGCCTTTTCTCATCTTTCCCATTAAGGGCCCGGGTTTAGTGGTCGGATTCGACGGCGTAACCCCCATCGCTCGCGCCTTGAGGAATCCCGCAAGCGGCGCCATGATGAACCAGCCGCCTATGGCCGCGGCGGCGCGCACGTGGTCTTCCATGGTCATCTCGACCTCGTTTCCAAACGGGTCGACGTAATTCGCCAGCCGACGAAGCTCCACAGGCACATGGGGGTATTCCCTGTGTTCGTCGGGGAATGCTGGTGTGGTTCTGTTGCCCAGATGGAACGGCACCGAAGCGCAGAACCTGTCCGCGATCTCTTGGATTTGCCGGTCGACGTGAAGCTCGATTTCCGGGTCAACGGCAATGCCGAGGTCCTCGAGGCCCCTGATGCATAATGCAATGAGACGGAGTGCTCCACCGTGAGAACTCCGAGCTGCATTGTTGACGTGAGAGACTGCGAGCGAAGAATAAACGTCGCACATGTTTTCATAGACGCCAGCGTCGCGGATGGATTGATGTAATTCGGACGCCGGAATAGATACTGGTTGCCATGACCTGGGGAGCGCATCCCTCCACGTTTGCAGCCTCTTCTCGAGGGCAAGTGCCCTCTCCAAAATGACCCGATAGAAGTCGGCTAAGCCGAGGCCAGCTCCTTCGGGGCCCTCGCAGGCTAATACATGCAATTCTGCAAGCTCAGCGTTCAGAAGATCAAGCTTTGCGGATGGGAGGACTGCGGTGTCTTCGGCAAGGAGTTCCGGATCCAGCTCCACCTTTCGCCCGTATTGTAACGAATAATTGATATGGCGACTTCTCATGGCATTGAAGAGCCGCTGGGAGAGCGGGCTGTCGAAGTCATCTTTCCCTCTGTGCTTGAGCAGAGCCACCGCACCTTGCTGGTGGGTGCCGGTGTCGACGAAGTGCACAAACCGTCGATTGAGGGAGTCGTAAAAGTCGAGCATGAACACTGTGGCGAGGGTTTCGTCCGTTTTGCATTCAACGGGGTCTTGCAGCAAAGATTTTAAGAGAGTGACGGCCCTTGCGTAAGATTCTCGAGCACGGTAAGAATCGACGTATCGGGTCATCCACATGGCCGTGATATTGACCGCGACCGCATTGACAGCTTCAGCCAACGCCGAATCGGGGGCTGTGTTCAAGTATATGGGAAGGATGTGTTCGATGAAGATGTTGGTACTCGGATCCCGGGGAATATTGACATAGTTGGTGAAGAAGTAACACAGCGACTCCACCTCGACATTTCGCGACGGTGTGGCGAAGAGAGCAAGATCAAGGGCACAATCGACATCACTCGTCGGCGACGGCGTATTCGTGAGGTTAGGAGTGCTGTCCCCAGATTCGCTAGCAGGGGTGTGTACCTTTTTCTGCCGTTTCGGGGCGCTCTTATGCGAGACGATGTATGTCTCGTCTTTGTGGACAGCGTCGAACAAGTCTCGATATCCGGGGCATTGCTGTTTCCTTTTGAGGCAATTGCCGCACTGAGGCCGTTTCTCATCGCACTTGATCGATCAGCATGACAACGGGCAGCGAGACCGGAATGGTCCACGACGTACCTTGACACGCCGTTTCCTACACGAGTGACATCCTTTACTGGGCCCTTTATAAACCATCTTTGTTGACTCACCCGAGTTTCGTCGCTTATGGAGATGCAAGAGAGTGGTATGATGAGAGTAACTTGTTGGTGCGTAGCCTCATAATTAACTAGGCGAGACGTTTAACCAAACCTGAGGCCTGCAGATCTGATAGAAGGGCCATCCGCGTGCATCTAGGCAGCCATCATACCATTTAGGTTGAAACAGTATCGCCGCGAACAACCTGAGCAGATTGCTATCGATGAAATGATATGTCTCGCCCAAGCGGCGCCGAGAAGATTTGTTTGCTCCGACTTGGCAATGGTGGCTGTGCTCCCCTAAGTCCTGCCGATTCCATTAATTGTGCATTAGGGCTGCTCGGTTATGGGTTTTCGGTGATGAAAGGGGTTTGGTGTTCGAAGCCGAACTCGTGGTGCACAGAGCCGACTTCATACGCGTTCCTGTGGCTGGGGCGAGAATGACGACAATAGTGGTTTGACTGGGTCAGTTTTGGTGTGCATGGCGCTGATAGGTCCCTACCAAATGGCTCTGGGCCTCTGTACTCGGTATGCCGTACCCTGTATTTTGAGGACCCATCGAGCTATCTCCCTACGCGAATACGCATGGCATTGACGCAAATAAGCTCGACTGTACAACGTAAGGATGACTTACCTTACTTCATGCTTAGCCTTTGCTGCACACCTCAAATTCGACATCCAAGGGAAAGTAAAGTCATGTTCAACTTACCACTGCAAAAAGCGTTCGGCTTCAGAGCTAAACTAACTGGGGGAAATCTCAAGGCAATGCATTTACCATGACGGTCGAATATGCTGAGTTTGCCGAGAGGGATACGACGATAGAGACGATTCTTGGGCGTCGGCGGATCATTCTCATAGATGGTTTATTCTTCCTCCAAGCGGCTCTGACTCATTGACCTACATGCCTGCAGAACAGTGCCCGAGCTATGCGAGATATCCTTGCCCAAGACTAGATGCTGCCGTTCTCTCCTGCAGCGCAAATTGGGGCGTATTAACTGTGGAGGTTTAGGACTGAAGAAGAATCAAGCAGTTAGACAGAACAGATGCACCAGGATGTGCTGGCACCGCGAGAGAAGTGGGGGAAAAGACAGTCCACAGCGGTACCCATTCTTCTAATCGACACCGCCAACCTCAGCACAATTGCCGTCGAAGCCGTCACTATCAGGTCCGTCACCATTTACCAAAGCCGGGAAGTCATACTGGCCCGGGGTGATGCAGGCGGTACCGTCACTGGCGACGATTAATTGGTACTCATCGCAGGCCGGATGTGGGGCGAAGAAGCTGCCGATGGCACAGTTTGGGTGGGTGATGCACGACATGCAGCAGTTGTCTTCGGCGGTGTCTGTTGTGACCCCAGCAAAGTTAACGATCCCAGAGCCAGGGTCAGAGATCACGCCGGAAATGCCATCGCCGTACACCGTGCCCGCCACATTGGGACTCAGACATGCCGCATACAACATAAATGCTTGGACCGTGCTGGTCAAGGCGAAGGTCGAGGTGGTGCTGGTTGCCCCTAGAGTGGTGGGGATGGTGAATGTCGGGGTTGGGCTGGTCACGGTTTTAGTGCTACCTGTCCATGACGGCTGGTCTGGAATCTCTCGGTTTCGGTGCTCGTGACCGTCGAAGTCACGGTGCCTGTTGAGGTAACCACAGTGCCACTGTATCTCGACAAGTAGGCCGTGTAACATTGTCCCGTATGCTGTCCCAGTGGTTGGTGAAGTCTTGCCAGCAGAGGCGGCTACCGCGAAGGCCAGCGGAACCTACTGTGAACGGCAAATATCATGTTTGTATGTAGGATCGTCCTTCATAGGAATGTATGTGTTTTCCTCATCCTCGTGCTTTGCATCCGTAGGTACTTTGTAGACGATGTACGGAGTTGGGTGTTGCTGTGCGCTATCAGTGGATTTTTCGATTTTGACTCAGTGACCGTTGCCCCTTCTCCGGAAATTGGCATGGCCTGGTGTTCTCCCAATCCAAACCCTGATGAATCTTGATTTCAGGCTCGTAGGGAAAGGGAAAGGAACGCGTTTGTGCTGCCAGCCCGCTCTGTGCAAGTTTGACCCAATTAGATAGATATTCCAAGTTTTGCGACTGATAGTCTCAGGTACTACTAGCATGTTGGCCAGGAACCCAAACAAGACTTTGGTCTGGGGCACAGCGGGAAGACGCTTGATCAAGTTCTCAGCATATTTTCATTTGGCCATCTATCTATCTATCCATATCAAGCTCACCAAGGCATCTGAACGCCATTCTGATCCCAGAACTTTCCACTGTACGTGGCCTTGTCGGCCTTGTCGAAGACCGAGATCAATCCATTGACAGAATCCTCCAACTTTACCGGAACCTCTTCTGCCTTCATACCTGCGAACTCGGCCGCAGTATTGCCCATGGCTGTTCAATCTAAAGTCAGCATCGTTGCTTGAGAAATCACTATGCAGGAGACATACCTGTCTGAACCCAACCTGGCTGCATTGCAACAACAGTAATCCGACCTTCCTCTCGGTGAATTCGGCTGACTGCCCAATTCACAGCTGCCTTGGACATACCGTACGCGATCATTGGCAACGGGTAGCTGTCTTGGAGAGTGTTACTGCCAATATTGGAGGAGATGATGAAGAACTTTGGTGTCTGCTCAGAGGCACTCAACAGTTCTTGGGTGGCCTGGTAGAGCAATATGGGCGCTAAAGTGTTGACTTCCAAATGCTCCATGATAGTTTCCGCGGAAGCTTCTTTGGCAGGACCAAAGTGTTTCAGAATGCCCGCGTTGGCCACCACGATATCAAGGGCAGAGATGTTTTGAACCGACTTGAGGAAGTCAACGAGGTCCACAGCCGCTGTCTTTGATGAGGCATCGTACTTGGCGACCACAATCTTGCTGCCAGGGCCAACAGGTAGGGAAGTCAGGGCTTTGGCGGCTGCAGAATCAGGCCCATCTCGAATGGCGGCAATGGCTAGTGTGCTGGGGCGAGAGGCGTATGTGGAAAGCAACCCTTTGCCGATGCCGGATTTACTTCCGGTTACCAGAACGGTATTGGCGAAAGACATCATGACTTTGGCAATGAGGTTCTGGCTTGATGAAGGGTGCGGATAAGAATAATGCTGTGGAGGCTGGTTTGGGATCTTGCTGACATTGCCTTGCGGTGGTAGACAGACAATTCTTGCTGCACAAGGGTGACTCTGTTATATACCTGCATGGCTTGGACCTCGCTCGTCTTTATGACCTTGAGTTTGACAAGCTAGTTCCGTCTCTTGCCATATTGTCTCAGCGGCGCGTGTTTCCTACGAGGCATACTGCTTCCCAATAGAGAGCCTGGTCCTGCTACGGTGGTGTTGGCCTCGGGCTGATGATACAGCAGAAGAATAACAACGATAGATTTGAGGGCTCCGGTTAGGGAGCAGTAGCCACAACATCCCAGAAGGGAAGCTCTTGCAGAGAAGTTTGGTTCTTCCACTCTTTCGAATGCTTCATGTTCAAGCACTTCCTGGAGGGCTGACCAACCAGTGACGTCGGCGTCGTCTGATTGGTAGAATTCTCATTTCCGGATTGGGACAGTGGTCTCCGTCTCCTGCTGAGGCCGCTTCACTGGGCAGACTCTGTGAGGCATTAATATGGGTGTGGGGATATCGGACATAATTGCTAATGATAGTGACACCGTGCAATCACCACGGGCCGCATCTCCTGAGCAGCTGAGCCATAATGTGGCACCGCCATCCGAGCCTGCTCTCCATGTTTGATTACTCGTAGTACCCCTTGCACCCCTTTTTCGCCATCATTTTATGAACCGTCACGAGCGCAGCCTGCACTCCGAGGTACATGAGGGAGATCAACGACAACGCGATAGAGTGAGCAAGCCGCCTGAAAGATATATAGACTAGGATTGGAGTCGTCTCAGTTCTCAGACAGGATATCGGGGATAGGCCCTGTTTTGATAGGCTACGAGCTAAGACGCCGGCCAATCACAAAATTCAAAGAATGTTGCGTCCACCTTCTCGCGATGGTGTTGTGCAGAGCAAAATAGTGGGCCCTGCCCACTTAAAGCAACTGAGCCGATGTGTCTAGAACTAAGACAAGGATCGGAGACGCTGGACGGTTACGAAACTCTCGGCTGAGTTGCCTAAAGAACGGAATTCATCCACCTCGCAGGGAGACTTTTCCCGGATGTCCAGATGTCCAGGCTATCGACCTCAAAGAGGTTACAGATGGTTCAACACCCAAGAATTCGCCCGTCGTGGTCGAGTTAGACAATCTCGACGCCCATTTATTGCTCAAAATGATTCTAAGATAACAACAGGAGGCGCACAATGGCGCCACAACCCGCGACCACTCCCACCACCTCGAGCGTCGCGTCCACGCCAACTCCGTCTCCAGCGCCCTCTCCCATACCTCCCCCAGTGCCTGTCGAGACTCATCCCAACCGAGGGAAACCACAAGTTAATCGAATTGCACCAGACCCGAATCGTCTTGCTCCCGAAGATGCATACAAGACTTTCTCACCGCCCCGACTGCGGCCGGTGCCTGAGATCAGTGGCTCTGCCGCAGCAAGTGCTGCAGCTGCAGCTCTCCGACCCGCAGTTGCGTCCCTACGAGCACCGCCAGCCATTCCTCCAGTCGCTGCTAGAATAGCCGAAGAAAGACGACGGGCAGCCAGCAAGAGACGGAAGCAACCCCACGTTTGGAAAAAATTACTGTGGATAAAACAGCATGGGTTCCCTGACAACTATACCGACACCGAGACTTTTCTGGACCACCTGCAGCGAAATCCACGGCTGAGGCCCTACGATTTTTGGCCATTGGTGGCAGACTCGGCCGTCATTGTGCAGCACGTTTGTTCCGTGGCCATCTTCATCTGTGCCTATGCCGGAATCTACCAAGGCCGTCTGTCGCCTGTCTCGGTGGTGACCTGTGGTACGATTCTGACGGTGGGTGGTTGGATTGTGTGGGACCATTGGATAGGTCAACAGGAAGCAGAAGAGTGGGCGGCACTTCACAAGGCGAACCGGCTCTCGGTCGATGTCGACGACGGTTCAAGTACAAGCTCCGGAGGTTCTTCTAAACTTCATATGAACGGCAATGGCCATGTCGGCAATGGCCATGTGAACGGCACGCTGGGAGGACGAGGCGTTGGTCTGAAACTCTCGACCGCCGACCTTGGAGTCAAGGACCACGAATCCAAGTTCTCTGGGAAGCATGGCCAGTCCTTGTCCAAATCATCCTTCCAGTCGATTTCTCCCATTGACCCATTGGGCGAGAGCTCAGTGGAACCGTTTCCAGATCTGCGGCCAACGACGTCCCGACCCCAAGCACCCCAGTCTCCCAGCATGGTGTATAGTCCAACCACATTACCGGCTACGATATCTCCGCGAAACCAAGCGCGGCTCAAAACACTCAAATCTGCTTCTTTGATCTACTTTGCTCTGTTGGGACTGTCGCCTATCCTCAAGTCCCTCACAAGATCGACATCATCAGACTCCATATGGGCGCTGGCGACATGGCTTCTGATCATCAACATATTCTTCTTCGACTATGGAAGCCTTTACTTGCCCAAAAAGCCAGAGAATGCGGGGCGAGTGTCTGGAATATCAAACGCCACAGCCACGGACCCAGCACCCCCTCAATTGAGTAATACTTTCCGGCCACCTCCATTCCCGTCATCTCTGTCGACCAATGCAGCCTTGATGGCCAGCACGGTGCTTGCTTCGCGCCTGATGACAACCACTGCCGTGTTCAGCCTGACACTGTTTTCGATCCAGGTGTTTGGTCTATTTCCGGTGTTCCGGCGGCATCTCCATTACAATTCGTTTAAGCTACATCTGCTTCTCACGTTCGCGCTGGTGACAATGTCCACCTGCGGGTTGGGGTTGGTTTTATCCAAATCCTACACACACACGTATGGCAACTGTGGGCTCTGCTGGGGTTGGATCTGGCATGTGATTCTTCGGAGCACAATCGGATTTATAGTCGGAGGACTCAGCACAGCATTTGTCATGGGAGGATGTTCATGGTGGCTGATCGGGCTCCAGCGGTATAAGAACGTGGTGATTGGGCCCTGGGATCCTGCCAAACCTGTCCTTGCCGGCGGCGTCTATGGCAGAAGTCGAACGGGGACTGACTGAGAGATCTCACCTTTGATGACAGCCCAGACAGCCTTGGGTGGGATTAAATCAAGAGGGGGAATAGTTTCCCATGGAAAAACCAGGGTGGCACATTCCGTCCCGGTATCGGATCCGAGGTCACGACCATTTTCGGCGGAATTGGAGAAGTAACAACAGTTCGCAATCCGCCGGCATTTTCGAGACACTAGCGGTATCGAAGCTTGGACGAAGATATTTCGGTATGGCCCTCGATCCCCGGGCGCGAGAATGCCGCTCGTCACACCTTCTCCAATATCGGAAGAGGGGTTTTTCTTTTCTGTCTCTCGAGATAGACATAAGGCACAAGGCAAAAGGGAAAATCGAGGACAACTGCGGGGTCGACACCAATGACGAGCATCTTTCGCCGCATCTCTCCTTCTCCTTCTCCCTCGGGGATCCGCTGCTTGATATTACAAAACAACCACATCTTGCACATCCCTCTCGTTCCCGTTCATCCATTCAACCCAGCTCGTAGTCAAAGACCATTCTATACGAAGAAAAAAACCATGGCTCCTAACCTCCCCTTCGAACTAAAAGACCCAGACCTGCTGCACCAGGACTCGTACGTGCACGGCCAATGGGTTCAAGCGAAGAGTGGCAAGCGCTTCGACATCATCGACCCCGGCTCGGACAAGGTCTGGGCCTCGTGCCCGGACAATAAAGTCGAGGACGTCGACGCCGCCATCCAGTCTTCGTACAAGGCCTTCCAGGAATACCGCATCCTCAACCCGCGCAAACGGGCCCAGCTTCTGATGAAGTGGCACGAACTCATCACCGCCGCCAAAGAAGACCTTGCCAAGATCCTCACCTACGAGACGGGCAAACCTCTTCCCGAGGCCATCGGTGAGCTTGACTACTCGCTGGGTTTCACCTGGTGGTTTGCCGGCGAGGCGGAACGCATTCAGGGCTCTGTCTTCACCCCGTCGGCGCCGAATAGACGAACTTTTGTCATCAAGCAGCCGATCGGCGTCGCAGTGGCTCTGGTGCCTTGGAACTTCCCCATCGCCATGATCCTGCGGAAAGCAGGCGCCGCGTTTGCAGCCGGATGCACCATGGTCGTGAAACCCAGCCCAGAAACCCCCTTAACATGCTTGAGCCTTGCCTATCTGGCCACCAAGGCCGGCTTTGCTCCTGGCGTCTTTAACGTCTTGACGACCAGTCTTGAGAACACTCCATCCCTCAGTGAAGCCATGTGTGTGCACCCGCTCGTTAAGAAGGTCACCTTCACCGGGTCCACCCGCGTGGGCAAGATTGTGGCAGGCCTCTGCGCCAAGAACCTCAAGAAGTGCACGCTCGAGTTGGGCGGCAACTGTCCCTTTATTGTCTTCGACGACGCCGACCTCGAGCAGGCACTGGCGCAGTTCATGGCCCTAAAATGGCGTCATGCAGGCCAGGCCTGCGTATCGGCAAACCGTCTGTACGTACAAGCGGGGGTGTACGAGAAATTCACGCAGATGCTGGTGGAAAAGACAAAGGCCCTCAAAGTCGGCCACGGCGCGGAGCAGGGCACGACCATGGGTCCCGTGACCACGCCGCGCGGCCTGGCAAAGGCCGAAGAACAGGCCGCCGACGCGATCAAGCACGGCGCGAGACTACTTCTTGGATCCGGTAAGGCGCACAAGGGCGCCACCGCGGAGGAGGGCGCTGGCGCCGGCAAGGGGCTGGGTGGATATTTCATGGATCCGACCATCCTAGCGGACATGAACGATGATATGCTCCTGGCCAAGGAAGAGACGTTTGCGCCCGTCACGGGCATTTTCAAGTTTGAGAAGGAGGAGGAGGCCGTCAGGTGGGCCAACGACACGTCCATGGGTCTGGCGAGCTACGCCTTCACCAAGAATGTGGACCGACTGTGGCGGATGTTGGAGAACTTGGAGGCCGGCATGATTGGATTGGTAAGTTTTATTCTTCTTGCCAAATCTATGGCCGTATAAAATCCCCCCTCCCCCCAAAAAGAAAGAGGAACAGAGAGAAGGACAAGGGAGGGACAAGAAGAAGAAACTACATCGCGTCATCTAGCCCACTTTCCCAACCTCCCCAACCTTCCTTGATTATACGTGTAGGTGGGCCTAATACTGACACGAACAATAGAACACGGGCAACTCGTCGGCGGCCGAGTCGCCCTTCGGCGGCATCAAGGAGAGCGGCTACGGCAAGGAGTCCGGCAAGGACGTCGCCGTCAACGAGTACTTGATCTCCAAGACTGGCACCTTCACCATCGACGGACAGTATTGATTTAGTTCGTTGCCCTTTAAGGAACTTTCCCTGCCATGTCGTCCCGTCTCGTTTCGTCTCGATTCCTCCACTTGAGGACGATAAGTGGCCGGATGAGGATGGGATGAGTGAGTGTGGGGGTGCGTAGCTGGTCGGGGAAGTGAGCAGGGTGAACTCTGTGTGTGTGTATGCGTTGGACATTCAGACTCCCGCGTGACGCCCGAAGCGAGCCTGAGAATTGATGCATACAAGCTGCTTATGCATACATGTACGATGGATATCCACTGAGAATACACAGCTACATGCCTAGCTACTTAAGCTGATTGCCTACCTTACCTGCCTGCCTGCCTGCCTGCCTGACCGTCAACCTACTATGCCTTCTATACCTGGTATACCCTCCTCCCTGCTTGCCTGCCTGTCTACTTAAACCTACGTTCAACAACGCTGAAACAAGCAACCAAGGAAACAAGGGCAAGCTGAATACTCTAGTAATAGCGATTGATTAGCCATGTCTTTACCCATTGATTTATCTCCCTTCTCCCCAAACCAATCGAATCCTTCACCTGTCCTAACCTGCCGGGGTATATCTATGTATGATATAGCCTCCCAGGATCAGTTTCACTATATCCCGCCGAGTCCAACCAGCCTCGTCTCCCAAGATCAAAGGACCTCTTGACCTCCAGTCTCTCAAAACATAGTGAACCACATGTTCATTGTTGGATTTGTATCTGCCAACGCAGACACTGCTGCCTGTGCAAGTCGCCGCTGGCTATGCACCGGGCATAGGCAGGAAGCCCAGCCGCATCATCTTCTCCTGACTTTGTCGTGATGACACCGCCTAGCGACTCTGATGCTTTGCTTTTTGGCTTGCAAGGCAAACAAATTGAATGTTGTGTTTGAGATGCTTCGTCTCCTCGGGCTCATCTCAAACCCCCAGAACCCGGGTTTAATACCGGGCCATCAACCATACTCGTCTCTTCTCGTCGCCAAAGCCCCTCAACTTGGCCATGAGACTCTCAGAGACGGCAAGGTAGTCGTCAACGACCGCGTATCCGAGTGCCCGTCGCAGGACTTTATCCCGGTCCAGAGCTTTGAGACTCTTCTCCAAACTGTTAGGCAACTGCGTTGTAATGCCTAGTTTCTGCCTCTCCTCCTCGCCGATCCCAGTTGGGTCACCCGCACAATCCTTGTGCTCGAGTTTGAGATCTTGACGGAGACCGTGGAGTCCTGATGCCAGTAGGGCGGCCATGGACAAATAGGAGTTGCCCATGCCATCGACGGTCTTGAGTTCATAGTGTCCTGGTCCACATTTTCGCAATGGGACTTCCTTGTTTTGTGTCCCCCAGCATACATATTCTCCACCCGCCCAGATTCCGGCGTTGACTCGTTGATACGACTCCTCAAAAGGTAGCAGAAAAGCTATCAATGCTGGGAGATGTTCCAAAACGCCAGCGAGGAAGGGAGCTTCATATTTCTCGACGGTATCACCAGGTCCGTTGATGCTGAAATGGGCATGATTGGCGCTGCCGGGGCTGAATGCGTAGGGCCGCGGATAACATGTTGCTTTCAGGCCATGCTTCTTGGCGATGTTGCGAATCACATCTTTGGCCTTGAACAAGACGTCAACCGCCTTTACAGGTTCAAAAGCGGGCAAGGGAAACTCCCACTGTCCTGGTGCGGCCTCGGCGTGGAATTGCGAAAGGTGAATGTCGATGTCGGCCAGATTCTCCACAATTTCTTCAATGATCGGTAACATCTCGAGTTGTTGCCACGTCATGTTTGACCACGAATGAACCATATGCAAGGGCTCAAAATCCACAAAGTCCGACTTGTTTTCGTTCAGGATCGGCCTCATGAATATGATTTCGAGTTCGAATCCTATTAGCATGGAGATGTTGAACTCTGATTTGAGAGCGTCAGCTTGAGATTGAAGAAGCCAGCGTGGACAGCGGTCGTAGTGCTCGGCGAGGGGGACTTGCTCCGAATCTGCCATCCACCAGGTCTGAACAGTGGCAGAGGGAGATGAGATACCCTTGTTCAGTGAAAGGGTCGACAGGTCTGGAACCATGAGAAATTGGCCAGTGGCGGAGCATCCGGTCGCAGGGTAGTCGTCTTGCATCAACCGTGTCAGAGCACTCGTGCAACAGAGATTTTTGCCTGTTGAGAGCTGCTTTTTAAATTGTTGGACGGTTAGCATGCGATTTCGAAGGGTGCCAGTGTAGTCCAAATACTGAACCCAGATATACTTGACGCCTGGATTGGTTTGCAGAAAGGCATCAAAAACTGTCACATTCTGTGCGAAGACAGCGGTGGAGTTTTGGCCAGACGGCGCACTCGCACTCCCAGACCGGAGGGAAACAGAAAGGCTTGTCGCCGTCAGGGACATTGTGGTCGACGCCCCAGGTCGTGCCGCTGCTGACGACGATGACGGTCCTCCAGCAGGAGTCGCGACAGCCGTGCTTGCATATGACTTGAAGGAGGGCGCTTTCGAGCCACCATTCACCAGCGTACGCATACTGTCTACGACTTCTCGGCCACAAGCTCGGAGAAGCTCTGGATATTTGCGCTCTTCATCAAGCTTGTAGAGAAGATTGGAGTTCCAGAACATAATGTCGACAGCAATATCGATGGCCTGGGCGACGGTAACGTCACCAGCTGCAATGTACGAAGTAAGCAATCTCTCCAGGGCTTCTCTGAAGTGCTTGTTGGCAAGCCAGTATGTTTCGGGATAGAAGTGTCCGTCTGTGCTCCACAGGATCTTGGAGCTTGGTGTCAGCTCGAGGGCTTGTCGTAGCACAGACTCCTCGCCTTCGCGGGAGAGCATGGGGAACGCTTCTCCAATATCAAGCCAAGCGTTGGAATAGTTGGCCGCGAGGTAACCAGCTTCCCTCGTGTACGGATACGAAGAATGCAGGATGACAAAGTCGACCTGGGGGAAAGCTTCGATCAAAGGCTGCATATACGCCGGGTTCGCCTTGACCAAGTCGATATCTGTGTCGCCGAGACCGGTGTGGAACTGGAAGGGCAAGTTCTCACCATCCGTGTCTACAAGCTTTTCCAGCACGTCACAGACAGCGACAACCAGGTAGTCATTGACTTCCTTTTGCTCAATACGATACTTATGATCCCGGACTGCCTTCTGTAGGAAGTCGTGAAAGGCTTGCAGGAGAGAGGATTCAGTCAGAGACTGATGGGGGCGGAAGTTCTTCCTGCTGTCCAGGCCGATATCTAGACCGGAGCGATAGCAGATGACCGACTTGAAGCCACGGACATCTGGATCGTTGGCCAGAGTGCGGATCTGGTTTCTGAAGACCGTGTTGAAGCGGACCAAGAAACTTTCGGTCTGGCTGATGTCCCAGTCGGCATCGAGACCGACCCTCATAAAGCCCGCTGCGTGAGCAAGATGCTCGAGCAGTTCTGCCGCGACAGCTTCGATCCTCACTATCCTCGACACCGTGGGCACAAACTGTCGGTGCCACTTGAACGAGTGGATGATCTCGGGCGACAGTCCATCATCCATCATGATCGCATGTGTCCCTTCAAAGCATTTCTTGATCAGGCCTGGGTAGTCCCTGCGCACCCACTCATATCGGGCAGCCTTGACGTCCTGGAGGGTGTCGGGGCACTGATAGAATTCTGCCAGGTGTTTGACTCCGCGCATGTGAGCGAGGCTGGTATGGACATGATCCGTCAGAGCGTGGCCTTGTGCCTCGGAAGTGATACACTCAAAAGGATATTCTGCGCTGCCATAGGCATTTTCTTCGGTGAGCATGTTGTGGGCATGGTTGTCAATGACGGGGAATGTCCGGATGATCTGCTGCAGGTCCTCAATGCCTGCGCTTTCAAGGTCGCGTACTCGGTGGAGGGTAGGATAGAGCTCTGGCTGAGGGGCCATGGCTGATAAAGGTGGTAGGTGAACAGACGGGTCTCTGACAACACCAGTGACGAGGGAAGTCTGCAGAGATCAGGACACGATCGGGCTTGCAGCAGTATTTAACTGACCTAGGGAGACAGAGATAGACGCAGGAGGGACTGCTCGACTGATAGGAAACCTGGCCCGGTGCTCAAGTCCGATAGAGCGAGCTTGGATAGACTTTCAATCGCAGCCGGTATATGTAGGTCCACGCGCGGCGCGTTCTCTCCTTTGACCTTGGGCGACGGCGTAGAAGCTCACGTCAGAGAACACGAGGGGGTTGGCTCGTGTGATGGAATAAAGCAGAGCGCCTGGATGACAATTGTCAGCGACAGGACACACTGAGCAGCGTCGACCCGAAATATATCTGAGAATTGCTCGACCCTCAACCCTGACTCTCTCAGCAGGCATGGAAAGCGCGCCTCCTATTTTACCCTTCGACCATATCCATCCATCCTCCACCAAGCCACCCAGGGCCTCCCCCCCACCACCACTTGTCAGAGCTCCATCCTTGAACCCCAAGTTGGCGACTCGGAGCATCGCCGGAAGAAGGCAGCGTCGCTCTCCTGCCTAAACGAGACAAGAACCTTTGCAGATCAACTGTCAACCGCAATTGAGGAGTTGGCGGGCCGGGCTCTTGGTTGCTCTGGGTTGCTCTGGGTGTCCCAAACCGACAGTGACTGGAGGCCCTGGATCCCGAAGCAACTCAACTCACCACTAAGATCCTCGCATCACAGGTGATGAATCCATCCTTGACGGTTCGGTCCGCAGATGGTGAGGGCGCCCTAGTGACTTCTCAGCGAGCAAGACGGGATGCCGAGATGCCTATTCCGCCCGATTGGAAACCAGCGAGCCAGATCAAGCTGGCCTTTGTGGACTCACCAGGACTGGTGTCTCCTTCATAGCTACATACATACCGAGCTACCTGGCCGGGCGAGACGCGAAAACTACCTTATCAGAGCGATTTGGGAAGAGAGGCCACCGTACTATGTCCTCCACAGCGAAGAGATCCCTCAGTGGCACGCGCAGATCCATTAGTCCGCCTGCGCTGAGGAGGAAAGTTTCTCACACGGACGAGGACAATGCACACGTGGCCAACACATGGTCTGCAAACCCAAATCGTGTCCGCCTTTTCAGTTGGAATGTCAATGGCATCGGCCCACTGCTCCAAAAGCACCTGTCTTTCGACCCTGGTTCCCTGTCGCCGCTGAGATCATTTTTGAAGCGCCACCAATGGCCTCAGCTACTGTGTTTGCAGGAAGTCAAAATCAGCCCCAAAGACGTCGCAACTCAAAGACAGCTGCATCAAGCTGCCAATCACGGTCACGCCGCTGGCGAACCTACCTACACGGTTCATTTTTCTCTACCCAGAGACAAGTACAATGCTTCTGGATTCGGCGGCAAAGTCCACGGCGTTGCCTCCGTGATTAGAGACGACTTCGCCTCGGGAGTACGGGCCACCCGGCGACCAGAATGGGACCTCGAAGGTCGAGTTTTGATACATGAACAGGAGCTTGGTCTAGTCGTGATCAACGGCTACTGGGTCAACGGGACGTCCAATCCATATCGACATCCTGTAACGGGCCAGATCTCCGGTACCCGACACGATCACAAGCTGCATTTTCATCAGCACATGCTGAAACATGTCCTCCAGTACCAGACAGAGGGCCGCCATGTCATTTTGATCGGGGACATGAACATCGCTAGGTCCCGGATCGACGGCCATCCAACCCTACGGACGTCTCCTCTACAACATGTACAGAACCGTGCAGACTTCAATGCTAAGTTTTTCACCGACCTAAACGGCATGCGCGGGATCGATGTCTTCAGACACTTCCATGGGAACACCAAGAAATTCACGTATTACCCGCGTGGAAGTACCTGGGGTGCGAGCTGTGACAGAGTGGACCTAATCATCGTCAGCCACGCCCTGGTGGACGATCTAGATGTTGTCACCGGCACTGACATTTGCGATTCTGCACCAGAACGTGGGCACAGCGACCACGTCCCACTCTGGATCTCTCTTGACTTGGCCAAATTGACCGAGAAGAAGCACACCACGCTTTGCACTCTCGATGAATCGCAGGCCAACGCTGGTTCCAGCCGACCCCGCGTCTCGGCGAAATGATAATCCGGTAGAAGCCCCTCCTGCCAGGGTGACCTCAAGTTAAAGCTAGGTGACACTACTTTCGATTCATCCCATCACCAACTGCTCTGCCCGACAAGGTCCCGCTTCAGAGCCTGGGTCGAGGCCATCAGGTTCTGCATCTCAATCTCCTGTGTGGAGGAAACCCCAAACCTTGAGACGGCAAACATGTTGGCGCTCAAGTCTATGAAGTTGCCTTATTCAGGCGCAGAGCACTGGCACGCGACAAAAGATAAGGTCCAACTCCCGTCAGAGGTGCTAGATTTGATCGCTGAGCTGCTCTATGAAGGTAGCTATCGGCAGCTGGATTCGCTTTTGCCCTTCTCTCTCGTTTCGCACCAGTTGCGAAAGTCGGCATTACCCTTCCTCTTCGGAACCGTGTCCCACGTTATCCGTGATCTTATGGATCAAAGGGAACATGGGCTTCTTAGTTGGCTCCTCGATAATCGCCACCTCCTCGGCTATGTCCACACGCTGCATGTGCAACGCCCGCTGGAGATAGCAGATTTCTCCCCTCCTCAGAACGGGGATAATCGCGAACATTATTACTCGGACCTTAGGGCAGTGCGCGAGAGTCTGCCTTTCATGCACCGGCTTCGCCGCATTAGGTATGTACTTGCACAGGTGAGGACTGAGAGGAATTGAATTTGGGTGATATCTCGCTTCGGATCGTGTCTATGTTGCTAATGGCGTCTAGATTGGACTGTTCCGCCGCTGCAGCACACCAAGTGCTCAAGATGCTGTCGGATGATCAGCAATATGAAGTCATTCTTGGCCATCTCTACACATCTTCGCCGTGGCCAGATATGATTCAAGCAACCACAGCGATGGTTTCGATTGCCGGGCGCCATCAGCTCGCCCTAGGAGCCTTTGGCGCACCTCCCTTCAGTTACCCGGAGCCCGATCAAGCCACTTACGATGCGGTAGCAAAAGCCGCGGCTGTAGATCTGCACGTGGCCTGGCTGCTCGATAGCTTGGCTGGAGTTGACTCGGAGACGCCACATTTGAGAGGGACCCCTTCGTGGACCGAGTTGCGGTTGATTATCCCGCGCCATGCCATGGGAGATCTGAGTGTGATACCATGGGAGAATCTCCGAAGGCTGTCCATTGTCTGGGGTAATACCGTCATGTCTATCAACGAATTCATCTATTCGAGTGCTCCCCGACTCATCCAACTTCAGGCGTTGCGCATCTGTGCAGATCACCAGCGACACTATCACCCGACCTGCCCCTACACAGGGACCATGGGTCCGTTGTTTGAAAACGATCCTGGCCGGCCTTTCGCGATCGACTTCACGCAGATGACAGAGCTGCGAGAGCTGGAGATTGATGGGATATGCAACCACATCCCTATAACGGACCTTGTGGGTCCCAGCCTCCGTCATCTACGGCTGCACTGTGAGGATTCGCGCTCTTCGGTTTACAGTAAGCAGAGCCAGCGTAGCCATACCGATATTCTGACGGCGGCGAAACTCGCACCAAAGATTGAGCGGCTGGAGTTGGACGTTGGTTACATCGAGCACTTGTGGCATCCCACAGCAATTCCCGGGGTAGATGTGCATGTCGAACAATATGCATTTCTGAACGCGCTCACCAAGTTTCGCCATTTGCGATTCCTCCGTCTATTCCCTCCCTTCATATCTAGCTCCTGCCTACGCCTCGAGTGGAGGTTGCACCACTCTGTTCCGGTTTCCGACATTCAGGCGATCCGAGTCTTCGATCAGCTGCAGAGGGAATGCCCCTCTCTACAGCTGCTGTCCATCGCCGCCGCCCCGTCCGTCGTCGACATTGACACCATGTATTGGCAGGTCACACGGCAAGAAGACAAGACCATTCTCACAACTGGCCACAGAGCGCGAAATTACAAACACTGCCAAACCTGGATTGGACATCGGAGGATGCGCAGTGAAATCAAGCGATTCAATACGCCGCAGGTATACTTACCAGATTCTGATGGTTGGATGCTTACCCGGAACGATCTTCATGACGTCCGTCAAATTCCGTTTGGGGTGAGATGGTGGGATGCTGATCTATAACTGCACAACGCCAAAAGTCTTTCGGTGGTTTCCTTATGTCCACAATGACCCTGTTTCCGATGAAAACACCGCCTGACCTCTCAGACCTTTTGGTTCATCCCTTAGATCGGCGAGGCTCGTTGATCGTACGGGATTCACTCCCATATTTCGGCATCACGCCTCACCTAGCCAAGGTTGGATATAAATCCTCTGTCTTTTCACAGCTACTGCCATATCGGGTCGTGGACATAATTTCGCATTATCCCAAGGCTGAGGTGTGAAGCGATGCTCAAGAATGAGTCTACAAAGAGCGGCCGGATTTTTTTTCCATCTTAACTCATGAAACGCGGATATATACGGTTTACGAGGCTGAATGTTGCATCTCGTAGGCTCCAGTCTTGAGCCTGGCGGATACATCTAGCTGGCCGGCACAGTCTCAGCCAGGAGCAAGCCCAGAGGATTCGACTCGACCCATAAAGCTTATTGTTTCATTATCAGGCTAAGGAGATTCTATGCCTCTCAAGATGGTATTGACCGCGACTTCACCCCGACTCTGTCTATCAAAAGTTTCAGCTTTCATGTGCTCGATGACAAAGGAAACAGAAACGCATTAGGCCACTCCACACGGACGGTCCCGCCCTGTTTTATATTGCTGCTAATCACCACCACTGTCTTCCCCTTACTGTGTCTCTAGCGATGCCAATGAGTTCACGGCCATGAGAAATCAGATGCGGGTCATTGGCTCCCTGGAAAAGACCAGATTTGCAAAGCTGTTCCCTGTCCTATATATAGTCAGTACAGGCGCATGGAGAGCATATCTTTTGCACATTGTAGCTCCTTGGCCGATCTTCTGGTCGGGCCTTTTCATACAGCTACCACGGAAAACTTCATCTAGACCAACCCGAGGACGGCTCTGTTAGTCCCATGCTCCAGGCATTGTCCTAGGAATGGTACGAGCAGCCTTGCAACTGGCACAGATCCGATCAATTCGACTTCGACCACCTTCATTGTCTCGAGCCTGAGCATCCGACTCGCGCCTTACCCACCAATCAGACATGTCTACGCCACATCTCTCACATGCTCGGTCCATCCCACTTCTACCGGGTGTGCTTCTTCCGCTCTCGTTGACTTTCGTGCTGCTCCGAGCACCGCTAACGCGGCTCGGGAGGACCAGTCTTCCGGTCTTAGCACGCGAGGTAAAGAAACTCGAAAGCTCTTTGAAAAATGGGGCTCTTGCAGGGGCAATGTCTTGGGAGGGTATTGGAGTGTGCGTTTTGGTTGGGCCGCATGATCCGGCAGGGGCAAGAACTGACATGGCAGTGGAAGATCTTCGAAAAGGATTTATCGATTTGGTGGTTGAGAAGCTGCGTCGGACACGACTCTTGGAGCCGGATTGCGATTTATTGGATTCATCTGATGCCGGTGTGAGCAGACGCTGATAGGGCGAGGCGCTTGATTGGCTCAAAGGGGAGACTTGGTGGCCTTCATGGTCTAAAGACGCTACAGAAGCCTGGTCGACCACATGAGTCTTTGGGGGGGTTATTGACTCGGGCGATCGCAGGTGCATGCGTTCTGATGTGCGTCTCAGAGACAATGGTGAGACTTTCGGCAGAAGAGACAGCGTTTCGAGGAGCATCGGAGATTGGGGCGGTGTGGTGAACGGCGTGGAATATCTTGTGCCTTGCGTCAGCAGTGGACTGTCGTGTTGCTTTGGGGTTGAGTGATCCGATGGAGTTGATCCTGCATGTCGGTTTGAAGGCAGAAGAGTCATCCAAGGAGGTTGCATGCGATGTCTTTGATGTACAGCCCCAATCTTGTTGGCATGCGGATTCAGGGGATCTGTCAGTGATATTCTCGAAGATGCTCCATCTAACAACCTTTTGGGAGGCATGACACTTTCTGAACCTTTCCGCGACGTTCTGACATGTTGCTCCAGCTTTGTGAGAGAGTCTGGCCGGTCGGCACAACGAGAGCAGACTGGCGGGTCCTTGACGATCATGCCCTGTTTGTGCGGCTCACAGTTACAATCAAGATAGGGAGGAGGGCGCAGAGGAGACTGGCTGGCCGTCAGCGGATTCTTGTCCCAATGAATGTGCGCATCATCGCCATACATACTGCGCAAATGAGGCAAGAGAAGCAACTCCAATGCCACTAGCACCATCCGAAGTTGACGACATCAGTCTTTCGAAACACGACCTCCCCACAGCGCCAACAGATGCTCGTGTTGTATATCCATCTCCAACAGTCAGCACAGACAATGCGGCCCTCAAGACCAAAGCTATGTGGCAGCGAGTTCTGTTCAGTCCAACAGACGGTGCAAAGGAAGGTATAGGACGGCTTGGATGACGGCTCAGGCTTTTTCTGCGGCTTGGGCGGCGCTGGAAGAGGTGGAGGCGAAGGGAGGACGCTGCATATGGATCGAAAGGATGATAGTGATATGTCGGGATTCGACAGGGACCTTGAAGGAGCGAATGTGTTCTGCGGGTATGCCATGAAGCAAAAGATATGCAGCTCGAGTGAGAGTACGAGTGGTTAAAGTAGAAGAAGAGGAAGAGGAGAAGCTGAGGTGAAACTGTCAAGAGATGGGAACATGGGGAAGTTGTGCCCTCCACCTTCCATTTGCATATCAAATGCGCCAAATGACCCCATCACTCTACACACTCCAATAACTCCTTGCCAACCAAGCCGCATAAGAACTCATCCCAACCACGAAACCCAGCGTCCCAAAATACCCCACTGGCCTGCCCCAGCCCATGGAATCCTTCGCCCTCAACCCAAACTCGACGTGTGCAATCCTGAAGAACAGCAGCGCAGCCAACGAACCCGCCAGGACCCGTCTGTCTCCACCGTTGATCTCGACGAGGGACGCCACCAGGAGAGCAAACGGCACATTCTCGACGAAGTTGGCGTGGCAGCGGGCACTGACAAGAAGATCCTTACTGGAGGATGGTTTCGCGGCTGAAGATTGGGTATTCTTGGTTGCGGAATCGGTGCCCCCCATCATGGTGTTGCATGACACGCGCACTACGCTCACGCGAAGGTTGAGGAGGACATAGTAGGCGGCGAATGCTAAAGAGTCGCATCAGCCTGAGAACATGGTCCGTGGATTAACACCTCGGTACCAGGAGCAAAGGTAGCCGTCACAGGCAGCATCTGAGGGACAGGGAGTCCTGCTATATAGCCCGCTTGTCAGCTGCGGGACAATCTCATTACGGGATGAAAGACTCACCAGGAATCGACATGTCGACTGCGATCGTTGTGTATGAAGCTGGGGGATCAAATAGACATGGATGGTATGGCACGAACTCTGGTAAATACTTCCAGACGTCTGTTCAACAACAACAACCACAACAACAATAACAATAATAATAATAACAACAACAACAACAACTACTACTACTACTACTACTACTACTACTACTACTACTACTACTACTACTACTACTACTACTACTACTACTACTACTACTACTACTACTACTAC